AATAGCATAGCAGAAATGAGGCAGAGAAGGTTGGCTATAATCTCTAACATATTTGGCCTTGATACACTAAAAAAAAAAAAAAAGAAAAAAAGAAACACAGGTAGAGTAGATCAGGAGGTAGGGTCCACTGAGATGCTCTGTAAAGAAAATATAACTAACCTGAAAAAGGATTCATGGACTGAAAACCAAATATGAGAAAAACAATGCTTTATGTGACAGGGAATCACAGAGAAATACAGGCAACTCGATCAGCACCTGCAGATAGGTTGGAAAGACAGGATACTTATATGCACTAGAGAACTACTTAGTTATAAGAAGGAAAACCTGGAGGTTTTTGTAGGTAAAGGAATGCAACTTGAGATCAGGTCCAGGAGTGAGGTTTGGAACCACTTAGGTAAATAGTGGATTGCCCCCAATATAAAATCTGAGGGAGTTGGCGGGACCCAAAATGCACAGTGCATGCTGTGGGAGTGAAAGGGGAGCAATAGCCTAAAAACAACAACAACAACAACAAAAACCAGGATATTGTTAATAGTGTATCAGGACTTAAAACCCATATTACTCACACTGCTTTGTTTAGATGGATTCTGTTCCAGTTTGTCTACTTGTACTAGATTTGAGGGCACAGATAGCTATCCTGAAAATAGCAGAACATGGTAATCATCCTTAATTTTCTATTAACTTACTCTGAAGTCCTGTATAACTTACACTGTTTTATCATGACTGATCTTAGCTGAATCTGGTTTGTTGGATTGCTGTTTTGTATTGACAGATTTTATTCAAATGCTATGATTGATAGTATCAAGTCTGAGCGTATAGGCAACTACACTGAAGATGACAAGATTCATTAGGATACCCACTCTGGTTTGATTATTACCTGCTTTTGAAGTTTTACACTCTCTACAATGTTTTGCTTTTATTAATATTGTTATGTACTGCTATATTCAATTATACTATGCCTGATGATAATAGACAATTCTATTGAAGATAACAAGAGACAACACAGTAACCACTGTAGCTCACCTTGTACTGTTTTATGTCTTTTTGTTTCATGTTTTTATAGGAATTTTTGTTTTGTCTTGCTTTGCTTTGTTTTTCCCTCTAATACAAAAAGGATAGAAATACATGTAGAGACTCATGCATGTGTAGAACCTATAAACAATGTATGAACTGATCATATAGTGCATGGTGAAATGAATAACTACTTTAAAGAAAAAAGAGATAGTGCTGATTCCATAGCATCATGATGTGAAACCCAGCAATATTATTCTTTGTTCAGAGTGATTTTAGCCTGTTTGGTTTTGTTTAATATCAACAACATACATGAAGATATGGATAGCTATTTTGAAGACAGTGAGAGATACTATGACAGCCATTGTTGACGTCCCTATTGTCTGATCGTGAAGACCTAGAACACTTTCCTCATCTTGTTCAGATCAGTTCTGTACTATGTTGTTTCATGTGAATTCTCTGTATGTGAAGATAGGGACAACCTTTTGAAGAAAACAAGAAACAATATGATAAGATAGTGAAGATCTCTCATTCTCTTGCTTTGCAATTTATGTCTCTTACATTGCTTTTCTATGTTCTGTTTTGTTCTGTTTGGTTGTGTTTAATTTTACCCTCTTTAAAATAGAAAAATCTAAAGAATAGACAACTTAATTACAATTTTAAAATTTTTTCTAACCCATTGAGTGCCACAAAGATTATACCAATCATTCAAAAAATGTTGCGAAATGAAAAAAAATCGTAATATATGATCTAAATTTTCTAGCACATATAAAGCCGTAATGTCTTTGTACCAGGGACTGAACTCACAACTTCATGTTTGCCAAGGAGGCACTTTCACCGCTGAGCTAAACCCCCAACCCTTCATATATACATATATTTTTTGTATTTTGTATTTTTACTGGTACCAGGGATCGAACTCACGACCACAGGCTTGCAAGGCAGGTGCTTATGCCGCTGAGCTAAATCCCCAGCCCCTGGGCCCCTCATTTTATAAATTTTTGTTAGTACGCATTTGTAGTACGGAATGTTTGCATTTCTCATGTGGGTTGGCACATGTATATCACACATCTTTGTTTTTTCATCGCCTTCCCTCTTTCCACCATATTTTGATCCCCTTTTCATTTTGAAAAAGATCTGTCTCCCTGCTTCCTACTGGCTACCTTTTACTTTTTATAATTTGTTTCTCATATAAGAGAATTATGTGATATTTAATCTTGTGTGTCCAGTTTATTTCACTTCACCATAATGTTCTCAAGGTACATCAATTTTCCTACAAATGACTTATTTTCTTGGGTGACTACATCTTATTCTCAATTTTAAAATGATACCAATATACTTATAAGTCACAAAATCTTTTTTTGTATTTTTTCTAAGGCACAAATTTTAAAATTATATTCTAAATAAGTGTTTTAGTGGGGCAAGTTTTAAAAAACCCTAACCCAAGAAGACAATGCAGAAACAATGAAAGGTTTTATCTTTCAGTCTGTATAAACAAAAAGCTGTTAAAGAAATAGACCACTTACTTATATAGGATAACCAATCGGAAATATGCCAGACTCATCAACACAAGCCATCAAGTCAAGAAGAGTTTGAAGTGTTTCAAACACTGAACAAATACAACTTTCAACCCAGATTGATCTAGCCTGCAAAATTATCTTTCAAAATTGATGCAAAAATAAGATACTTCCATGATAAAGAACAACTGAAGAAATTCATTACTATCAATCCAACTCAACAGAGTGCTAAAGGGAATTTTATAGAGCTAGAGATGACCATGGTTTCCGAACAGCAGCAGAGGAGGATCGCCAAACAAGATAGGCAATTGAATGAAGGGGAAAAGTGGAGGGCCAACTGCAGGACAATAGCATGGCGAACACAAACCAATGTACGCTGGTTGTAACCATTAATGTAGATGGCCTAAGCTCAGCAATAAGAAACACAGGGAGAGTAGATCAAGAAACAAGACCCATCAATATACCAAATATAGAAACATTTAACTGGAAAGGAAATTCATAGGCTGAAAATCAAAGGAGAGAAAACAATTGTCCCATGTGATAAGAGACCAGGTAAAAACAAAGTTAATTTGCCCATTAACCAGGATAGGAAACCTATGGTATTTTCACACAGTGGAAAGCCACTGAGGAATGAAGTAGAATCTTGAGATTCTTGTAGGTAAACGGATGCAATTGGAGATCATGTTCATGGTCAAAACAGTTTGTGTGAATCTTAGCATAAGAAACAGGGGTTAATGGATCCAAAAGCAAAATAGTTACTCTAAGAGTAACAGAGGAGGCAACACTTGGAAAGGAAAAGTGGTAACTACTGTTCATTTATCTTGTCTCGAACCCTTGTATTTTCACAATTTTGTTAGGTTTAGCTTTGCTGTCTTGTTAGATTTTACTTTGTCTGATCGTGTGGGCAGCTATTTTGAACATAATGGGACTATGATAATCATGGTTGGTTTCTTTTATTGCTTTGAAGTATAATGCTTTGTTTTGGTTGATTTTATTATGTGTGATGGCATGAACACCTATTTTGGAGATTCCTATCTTCTTGTTTGGAAGTCCTATCATGTTTTTTATAATTGGTTCTATCCTATTGTTTTTATTGTGCGTGATGGTATGGACATTTTTGAGGAAAATAAATTATAGTAGCCACTATTCATTTGCTGTTATCTGACTTTTAAGTCCTGCAATGCTCTCATTTCTTGATTTTAAATTATTTTGTGATGTTTGATATTATTGTGTGTGAAGGTATGGTCAACTATTTCAAACAAAACAAGATACATTATGGTAGATACTGTTGATGTCCTGTTGTCTCATTGTGAAGTCCTGTGTGGCTTACATTATTTTGTTCTGATTCACTTTGTTTTGTTTTGTTCTCTTTAAAATAAAAAAAAAAAAATTAAATGTTACATCTACTCCATCTTATTTTTTAATGCTTCTGTTTTGTTTTGAGACAAGGTCTCACCATACAGTTCAGGCTGGCCTTGTAATCACTTTGCAGCCCAGGCTAGTCTCAAACTTGCAACCATCCTCCCGTCTCAGTTTCCCAAGGGCTGGGATTACAGAAGTGCACCATGCCTGGCTTCCATCTTTGCTTTAAAATTTAAAAAATATGTGTGGGTGTGAGCCTTCTTACAACCCAAAATACTCAAACCATCCAGTTTAACAAGACAAATGGCTGTTAATAGAAAATGGGGTGAATGGAAGATGTGGCAAAGATCTAGCACTGAAAATATTGAAGTTAAGGGTAAGTGTAAAAATAAAATTTCCAACTATTTACAAATATAACACCATTTTGAAAAAAATTTTCTTGAAAATCCTTATCATGGCATGAATAAAATTTAAGAATTAGAAAAAGGTGTAAAGTTTCCTAACTCAACAAGACTGGTTTGGATCCCATCACCCATAGTAAAGATTGGCCCTGCAGGGCTTTCTTATCCTTATCAGGTGTTTCCCTTCATGTCTTTCTCGATACTAATGAATCTCTTCTCATGCCTTATCCTTGACTTCATGGTGAATACGCAAGCTCTTGCCATTATGACTAAAACCAGAGCCATTCCCTCTGCACTTGACTGCAATGGCTTACCACTTCATTACATTAGGCACCTGAAAAGCACCACACATCTAGTTGTTTTCAGTGCCAAGGAATCTCAAAGTTTATACAAAATTAGTAAGCCTCTTTATACCCTTAAAATGAGGTAGAACATTAAAACACACGACAAAGTAAGTACACGAGAAGATGCTGATTATTAATCATTGAAGTAAAAATTAAAACCAAAGTGAAAAGAACTCCAAAATAAAACCACCAAAGTCCAACTAAAAATACAAGTACTGGCAAGGACATGAAATACAGTGCTGTTAAGAATGCAAAGATGGTATCATACATTGATGAAATTTGGGGGTTTCTGATGTACATATTGTATATGATAAAGCAATCAATTTTAAGTATTCACAGAAGTGAAAACAATCACACAGACCTGTATATATGTGTTCATAGCAGCTTTATTTATAACAGCAAAAGAACTGTAAATAAGTCAAATATCCATCAATTGGTGAATGAATAAATGTAAAAACGTAATGAAATACTAAATAGCAGGAATTACTGAAAAATATACAATCACATGAGTTATCTCAAAAAAATTGATCTTCAATGAAAGATGCTAAACATAATAAACTGCGTATGATTCCATGTACTGAAAACTCTAGGAAAGTGAAAACTAGTGACAAAAAAAGCAGATCAACAGTTGTCAAGGGGCAGAAGTGGGGAAGCAGAATTGCCTGCAAAGGGAAACAGAAGTTTTGGGTTTATGAGTGGGAAAACACATACTGAACAAAAATTAGAAAGTATGCGGTGGTATTAACCATAGAATTTTACACAGTTGACAAAAGTCACTGAATTATACATTTGAACTGGTTAGCTTGATTATATATACAAAATAATTCATACCTTAAACCTTAAAAAAACACAGACATATATAAAAATGTAACAATGGTTAACATGATTTACTTTGTCAAATTTCCAAAATACTATTCAATGAGGATGTCCTGTTTTAAAACTGGATTGTTTTAAAGTCATTTAAAAACAATTCACACTATTACAAATACATGATTATATAACATGATCACAGTTACATAAAAATAAATATAAACCCAGAGCTGAAGATGGAAAGACATTTAACACCATTTATTCTGGGTTAGAAGGCAGTAAAATAAATTCCTTTAAAAGGTTCCCTACGATTAGTAACTTTCAGAGTGGACTTCGTTTTTAAAGCAGCAAAAATAAGAGAGTAACTTGCAATTAGCTGGAATCAACTTACTTTGAACTTTTACCCGAATGAGTTAGGAAGGCATCATATGCACTCATCTTTTAAGCTTTCAAACATTATTCACTTTTACCCCATGAATGTGTCACAGTTATTTTTTCAAGTTATTTTCCATAATGATCAGAATGGTAAGACAGTTTTCTTAATTTTGTCTTACTTTAAAACACTAAACAACAAATAAGCTGAGAATACAACTCAGCAGTACAGCACCTGCCTATCAAGCTCAAGGTGGTGAATTCAATTTCCAGTACCCAAAAGAAAAAAAAACTAAAACACAAATAATATTTAGACGTGGGAATATATTTTCCATTTAGCAATTTGTTTTATAAACAAAAGAAACAAACAGCAGTCTCAATTAAAATTCTCATTCTGATCATCAGTAGAGCAGATAGAAACCTCCTTTATTCTTCATGTGTTCTCACTGCAAACACAGAATCAAGACACCTATTTTTTCTTTTCTAAACAGTCTTTAAATTCTTCCAAGAAAGAATCTTCCACTTGGGCCAAATGACTATGAATTTAAGCTGGGTAAAAAAAAGCACAAACCTAAATACTGTTATAGAGCAAATAGGATCTGATGGTCACCTTGACTTTAGGAGCAAAACTAGTATTCTGCAACACTGTGACGTGCTACAATGAAACAATTCAGTGAAGAGCATTTTTGGAAGACCAGCAGACAACAGACACAGGAAAACAGTACCTTTAAACCCTTGGAAGGCAAGAACATGTCACACACGTTTCTGGAAGTGGAAGCAGTACTGGAACCACTGCTGTGAACAGATCATTGTGGCAGTATCAATACATCCCAATCACTATACTGAGGCTCTAATTTGTTTTATTTTCTTGCATTTATTGGAAGGCAAAATAAAATTTACATTTCTTAAGTGTATAGCAGGATGCAATTCTTGTTTCCTTTTACAATATGTCGAGTAATACTACTTTCATGTCTTTTGACATTAAAGATCCAAACTATTACATAACCTAATAAATGGTAGTGGCTTGAGCAAATACATGATGGATAGTATGCTTTAGTTAATATCATCTCTGCTACATTAAAATACTCTTTGAAAGTGGCTTAAACAATGAAGGAAAGATTAAAATAAGTCCGTATGTATGGCAATTGTAGTCGGGGAATTCTGTAGTCCTCTAGCATTACCAAGGGCTCTGGACAGTTCTACCTTTTCACTAAGCCATCCTCAGGATATGGTTCTCTGTTCTCTTGTGATCGTAACTGGTTACAGAAATTCCAAATATCAGATTAAGACAAGACAATGTCCAAAGAGAGCAGTTTCCTACTCTAAGTCTACTACTAACAATAATCCTTTTCAGACATCCCCGTGTAAATTGCTTAACTGCCACTAGCAAGACAGATTCACTCATGTACTAACATCTCACTATTTTTCAAGGGGACAAGGACCACATAATTGGCTCCTAACAGCCTGATTACCCATGGGCAAAGGTCCAACATCCTTGGACACAAAGTTGCAGAGGTGGAGATACTTGAAATAAAAAAGCAGGAAGGAAGAGATAACATGGCCGTTGGACAGCAACCAACAGTATCTGTCGCAATTTGATAGGGTTGAAAACACAGTACACTAGATTCCACTGGCTAAGAAGGTAAACAATTGAAAAAAAAATAAACAACGGATTACTATATGTTTAAAAAAATTTCAGGAATAATGACTAAATTTCAGTGAAATTCAGTATCAGGTACTAGTCTATGTACTTTACATGTATTAACATATTTAAATCAAAATTTTTACCTGTATTTTAGACAAGGAGAAGAGAGAAGCCAAGTACCTGCCCAAGACATTTAGTAAGTGACTGAGTGGAGCCCAAGCCTTAGGTAATCGGACTCCAGACTCATTCATGCTCTCACAGCTGCTACTTTGTGCTGCACAATTTAAACAGCAAAAATATCAAGCAAAGGAGACAGGTGAAGATGTAGAAACCAAGGCATGAAATTAGCAAGAGATTTATACACTGTATATTTTATTAAATATTGGGCTTTATTACAATATACTTCTCGTAAAGTTTCTAATTTAAAAAACATGGTTGCCTTGTACTTAACCTGACACTATTTTTGGCTAACCATTTTATTTTTACTGGTTCTATACTTAAATGATCATGGGCAGAAAATTGATTTTGTGTAATGGAACAAAGGAATTTTTCAATGGTACACTCAGAGAACCTACTGCTTTTTATAGTACATTTGTAACAGCTACAGATGACAATGCTAAGTCATGCACATTAAGTCTTTACTTCCTATTAAAGGTTTCTACCTTACGTTTGAAAATTAATTATGTCTCAAGGTTTGATATTTAGCCAAAACAGACTATGGGGAAAAACGATTAACAACCTGGATTCTCAGACCACCACAGAAGATCTGTCAGCTGTAATATCCATCCTGGGCTTGCGGTGGCAAGTTCCTGGGAGTTGCCTTTTCCTGTGTTTTGATCAAGTCTATTATAGCTGACAGTACTGCACAGTCTCTAGATTTAGTGTCTTTCCAGTCCACAGGATGAGGACTTTCAATCTTCTCTTGAAGAAGGGTATCTAGTTCCTTTCTTAAGTCCTAAAGTTGGAAAAATTACACGCAGTAAATAAATGCTGGGGTATTCTGAAACTATACAATAGATAAAAGTGACTTTCTTTACTGATACGGTTAAAAAATTCAACTAATTGGTCTGTTAATATTTCAAAAAGTAATTTGGAAAAATTACAAATCAATTTCTCAATACAATTTTCTCTGTTGAAATAAAACAAGAAATGTCTAATGTTATCAAAACTTTGTAGCAAAACCGAAAGACTACATGCTAACTTGTATGCAAATTGAAGATTTCTGTAGTCAGTCACCTTAACAAGACGGGCAATTTTTGCTGGAGACTGAAATATAATCCATTCATCTACAGCAATAGTCTCCTGTTCATTATCCTTCTGGATGGAAATATCACCTCCAAAGAACAAGAGACAATAAGGAGAAACTTCTGTGCAGTCGTACAAGTATATCTGTAATGAAAATTAAAATGTATTACTACATTCAGGAGTGTAAAAGGATCATTATTCCACTAACTCCACAATAGCACCAATCTTCATCTTGTTAGTAGCTTTCTTCTAGCCACAGTAGCAATATGCTCAGGATGGGGCCGTGACTCTTACAGCTTGTGGCCAGGAGGCCCACAGTTGAACGTGTTACACTCCTGCCTGCCTGAATCACCCATGGTACATGTGTGACTGCTCATGTTGCCCAACGGGACAATCCTGCATGTTTAAGGTGGTTCAAGCCAGTAGGAATGTGTTAACTTGCTAGTTAACTATGCAATTTAGTTTTGATTGTTTTATATGTCTTTTTGAAGCAGGATTTCACTATGCAGTTCAGGCTGGCTTTGCGCTCACTTTGTAGCCTAGATTGGTCTAATTCTGAATATTTTATATGAACCATTGTTAGTTCGGAGAACACAGAGGTTTTATTTTTTTATTTCTTTTGGCACTAGGGATTGAACTCACGACCACACACTTGCCAGGCAGGCACTTATGCTGCTGAGCTGAATCCCCGGCCTGAGGTTTTACATTTTTAACTTGAAATATATCACTACTTTTTTGAACAAAATATTTTCTGAGTGTCAAAACAAAACATTACAGCTGAAATTATTGTTATGTATATATTCAGTGTATTAAAAATCATTTCATGTTCTAAAGTAGAAAATAAACAGAATCCTACTTAATATTAACCTATACTTTAAAATAAATACTGATGCACCAACAAAAGTCTTTGTACACTGTAAACTCCTATAAACTGTAAAATGCCAGGATTTGTTTTGTTTGGGGGTGACACTAGAGATTAAAGCCAGTGCCTTAGAACTAATCTATATCCTCAGTCCTTTTCTTTGGTTTTGAGACAGGGTTCAGTAAAATCTCCTTTTTTTGAGACAGGGTTCAGTAAAATCCCCTTTTGCCTAAAATAAGCTCAGATTTTGCAATCCTTCGGCTTCAATCCCTTAGTATGCTGGGATTACAGGTGTTAAGTACTACATAAGGTTTAAAATGCCATGATTTTCTTTTCTTTTGTTAGTTTTCTGAGATAGGGTCTCATTGTGCAGTCCATGCTGGCTGTGTATTCACCATCTGGCTCAAGCTGACTTCGAACTCACAGGAATCCCCCTGCCCCAGACTCTCAAACGCTAGAATTACTAATGTTGCCATAATGCCTGGCTCTAAAATGTCAGTAATTCTTGAAAACAGGGTTTGAAAGGAAACCATGTAAATCAAATGTTCTGTTTAGGAAAATACAAGGATTCATCAAAACGTGATTAAGGGAAAAAGTTATAATTTATGTCAGAGGAAAAAACTGCTCACATTTAAAACATACAATTACTGACAGTTCATAGCCATAATAATTTCAAATGTCCACTTACACTACTTGTTCTCATCTTCAAGTGATAGATAAGCCAGTTGTAATGAAAGTCTGTTTGCTCCACATTAACAGATTTAGGATGAATAGAAACCAGGCCATCCGTTTTTGTGTGAACTTTCACCCTTTATAAAAGTTAACATGCAATCTGTTACAAGAAATTTTCTAAGAAATTAATTTTGTCTTCAATGTATTAAAACCTAATGTAGAGGACTTAGTAAAAAGCAAACAAACCACAGAATCTAATCTTACATATATGTATATAAATTCTTAAATTTATACTTATAAATTTATACCAAAAAGGTACCAGGGAGCAGTTCACAACCTCCCACTGGCCAGGCAGGGACTTAGCCACTGAACTAAATCCTCAACAAGAATTTGTTTGAAAAAAGCAGAATTTCCTTATTGATACATATAAAAATATCAGGCAAATGACTAAACATGAGTACTCAATCATGTAACTAATCCCTTATAGGCATAATTACTCAACATATTGGGAAGTGATAGTATTATTTGACATGTTAATATATACTGTATCACTGAAGGATAAAGAATGAAATTATTCTTTTAGCTCAGTGGGATAAGTGGCAAGCAAAAAGTCATGAGTTTGATCCCCGGTACCAAAAAAAATAAAAAGAAAGAAATCAGTATGTAAAATAGTTATTAAGTGATTCAGACCAATAAAATAATCAATACTTTACTATAATCAAAGTATTAAAAAATAGCCCTCAATTTACAGATAACTCCATGAAATGATCAATTTAAAAATTTCAGTGTATCCAGAAAAATATAAAATTAAAAACTGAGAATTTTAAAAGTGTTTTCTTATGAAATGGATTTAAAAAAGTCTATAATGTTTTTGTAGTCCCACACATAAATCTTCCAATTCAGGAGAGAAACATTTGGAATAAATGTATTTTGACAGAATTTAGTTCAACCTTTCAATTCTCCAAGGTATTTTAAAAGTTACTTTTAAATAGTTTTCTATTTAAATATTCTATTCTATTTAAATATTCACTATTTCAATAGTGTTGGACAAGACCATAAAAACTAATAATCCATAAATGTTAGTTGGTAAATTTCTACAGAGCACCAGATACGGTAAGTATTTTGAGTTTTAGGAGCTCTACAATTTTTGTCACAATACCCAACCCTGCTATAGTAGAAGGAAAGCAGACAGGTAACACATGAATGAATGGATATGGGCTGTGTTTCAATAAAAACTTATAAAAAAATCTTTTAGCCCAAAATGTGCTCATCTGCTATATGTCACACCAAAACAAGGCACCAATCCAAAGAAAGCTGTGTTTTTTTTATAAAGCCCTTCAGGATGGTAGAGGAACAGTGAAGTGTTTTTATATTAAACAGTCTCCCTGTTACCTATAAAGCTAGATACAAAGGCAAAAAATGTGGCAAAGTGCTACTATCAAAAGAATACTTTGCGAGTTGGGAATTTAGCTCAGTGGCATTTACGCTTGCCAGACAAGTGTGAGGTCATGAGTTCGATTCCCAGTACCAAAAGAAAAAAAATACTTTGCAACTTAAACTATGGACAGTTCAAACATACTGATTAAAATTCATTTTTTTAAAACTCATTAATCTTTTACCTTAAAGTAAGGTTTTTCAACCTCGGCCCTTCTGACACTGAACTGGTCTCAGTTGTAGGGAGCTGCCTGTACATTATGGGATGTTTAACAGCATCCCTGGCCTCCTCCTATAAGTTCATCAGACCACCCTAGTTACAACAACCGAATAAACATTACCAGGAACGGTCAAATATTCTGAAGTGGGAGAGAAGGCTTGAAGTGGGGGGCTGGTTACGTCCACTGATAACCACTCTTGTGGAACAATGTATTGTATGTCTATCTCTGCATATGTTTACAATTGCAGAGAATTCAATATTTTCATTTAAAATCAGCTCTAATATCTTATGTCACTGCATAATGATAGTTGTGTATGTCTACTTTTAGAAATGTCATAAATATGGAATTATAAAACCATAATTTCTCCTTTACAACTAGATATATACAACTGTTAAAATATTTGGAATTACTCTCTTAAGACATTTCTCAAAATGTGCACATAATCAATGCTGAACCACTAACTGCTTTAACAACCCAATAAGAATTCTAATCTAGACTGCCTCCCAAAGAGGGGCTAGTACTAGCCATTTGTGACTTTTAGTATCTCTGTGCCCTTACTAGAATCAGCTTAGTTATTAGGCTGAACTATGTCTTTCATATTCAGTTATTATCAAGATTATTTATACATAATTTATTAATCATATTGTATTTCTTTAGTCAAATTGTCACAATCTGATTCAAAAAGTTATTTAAAAATCCATTTTATAACGAGAGAGAGAGAGAGAGAGAGATGAGACAGAAACAGGCAGAAATTCTGAAGCTAAATCTATTCTAACTAATTTCAGTTTCGCTGGCTGGCTTTCCTAATCTATTCTAAATAATTTCAGTTTAGCTGGTTGTTTTTCCTAATATTTACACTTATGTTTTATGAACATTCTTTGGGAATGAGTGATCAGACAGCTAACTCCAAGGATGTGTTGTATAGGATGTGTTGTCAAACAATTTGCTTTCTTCTAAATAACCATGAATAAAGTTCAGATATGAGTAAGAACAAATTTATACTTATACTAAGACTTATACTTATAACAAGACTTATACTAAATCTTGTTACAGTAGAGGATTTCAAAAATTTAGAGAGAATTACAAGTCATTTATAATAATCTTCAATGCTTACATTTTTCTTTTTTTACCCAAATTTAGTCGGATTTTAGCAACTTTGGGATATAAACCAGCACAGATGACAGCTTTAATTATCTTCTCATTATCTATTGGGAATGGAAGAGTAGGAAAAAAAAAAAAGTAAAACATCAAGACAATGGACAAAAATGCCAAGTTACAGATAACTGTTTCTTGGTTTACCTGAATTTATATTTGCCTTTGGATCTTTAGGATTTCTACTGCTTACAAATCCAGCTGCAAGAAGATGCTCAGCAAACTGTCCTTTCATGTTATGCAGCATCTAAGGAAGCAATGGTAACAAACAGAACTAGAACACCTTCCACACACATAGGGGCAAAACCCTATAAACTCACAGGTAAGTTTAATTGTAAGCTTTCCTTCCTTTATGAAAACTTACAAAACTGACATTTCAAAAAAGACATCAGCAAACTACAAAAACCTGCTTTTGTCAATAAAATTTTATTAGAAAAGTCACACCCTTTTATCTACATGTTGTCCATGGTCTCTTATACTAAGTAAACATAGACGTTTATAAATGAGACTACATAGTTTGCAAGCCTAGAATATAATCTAGTCTTTTATAAACAGTTTGCATAGTACAAGGAAAAACCATGACTACATAGGATTACTCTACTTTGTAAAGATTTATTAATGTAACTCTAAATTGCTTTTCACCGCATAATTTGAAAAAAGCAGAAAAACACCAAGAAAACAATCAATATTCATTACTATTAGCAAGAATTAACTGCTGTTAACACAATGGCATATAGTTACTTTAGAAAAAGAAAAATTGCAATTTTAGTAAAAATGATGCATCGCTCAGCATAAAGATTTTAAGAAACAGAAAACCATCAATGAAGAATCTTCCTTCAACTCAATAATCAATAATCTCCAGAAAGTATCACTAGTTCTAGGTAAGCAAGACTGAAGACACTCCTTATGCATATCTAACAGAGTATTTCTTGGATGCTTTGATCTTTGTCCTTATACTTGAATTAGGATCTTGACTTGATATATTTCTGGTTCATTTCATTTTTTCTATTTTGGAGAAATGGTATATATACAATCAATAATAATAATCAATTACAAAATATCTCAATGTAGAGATACCTATTATCCTCATGATGAATCAGCCTAGTTTACAAACTTGCTATTTATTCCCTTTACCTTTATCACCCATATTCATAAACTGTGACTACCCCGTGACTTTCCTCTGCCTTACTGGGTCTTTTTATTCAGTCCATTGGTTTCTTACTACTTTTAACTGAACATACATTATGCTACTTCCGATCAAGAAAGTTAAGGTATCTGCTCTTGAAATATGCCAAGGCCCATTCTCTTTTCCTTTCCTTTGCTGACAGTATCCTTCAGAGGCTACAGAAATGTACCTTTAATAATAAGTCCTCATGTCACTTCCACTTTGTTAGGCACTTTTTATTATATATATTAAGACCCTGGATTCTTGTATAATAATATACACACTGTGTATATTTAACCTTTTTACAGACAGAACTATAAAAAATAAATACATACATGCTGACCCAGCAAATGTACCTAATTAATTTAAAGCATTCAACATTACCTGCAGTGTGTTTGAAGACAGGAAGTATTCCCAGCAATAGTCTTTCTCATATCTGAAACCACGTCGCTTAGCTTCTTCCCATCCCTGAGACAAATGTAGAAATCTGTTTATATTGTCCTCCACAACAGATTGTTTTTACTTTTATTTTAGTATAGTTTAATTAAAAAATTCAAAGAATTCTGAAATTTACAAACTAAAAAACAAAAATGCCTCAAATTTCTCTTTAGTTCAATCCTTAAAACTACCATGAAACACTAGTGTTTTAGACAGTAAGCACAGTTATTTAGCAACTGTGAATTTTATACAAAATGACATCATATGTACGAAGTATCAATCAAAAGAACACGCTTCTAAATTCAGTGCTATTATATTTTTTCAACCCGATAAATATATTTTCTTAGTTGCAAAAAGAGGGAAATGGGGAAAAAGAACATAGATAAATAAACCTAAGGGGAGAGGGAACAACAACAACAACAAAAACGTAAGTTTTCCATAATGCACTGTACAAAGTAAAATCTACGTCAGCAGTGGCAGTCCTATAGCACACATGCCACAGTGGGTGCTTTGTTATCACTGAAACCACTAAGAGGTTTGCCATAACTGATATAGGATATCATAAAAAGATGCTTCCTCTAAAAATCAAATTACATTTAAATTTTATAAAGACAAATTACCGCACTGGGCCTTTAGCTCAGCGGTATTAGTGCCTGCCTGCAAGTGCAAGGTCATGAGTTCCATCCCCAGCATAAAAAAAAAAAAAAAAAAAAAAAACCACGGCTAGTTACTTTGCATAACCTTGGCTTTGGGAAGAGAAAACATCTTCCTAAGCTGAATTAATATCCAATCAAAGTGAATTAATCTCAACTTAAGACTAATGAGGGTGTTCAAAGATTTTAAGGGAAGAGACACTATGGTAACTACCATTATGTCAAGATTATCTTGTGGTGAAACACTATTTTGCTTAAATGGCTATGTTTTGACCTGCACTGTTTTGTTGTTATGCCCTCTTTTTTATCTCAATCTCCTTTTTATTATCTACTTTTTCATTTTTATCCTTTTAATTAAGGGAAAAAGAAAAAATAGCAGGATATATTATAGTAACCCACTTTGATTTCCTATTAACTTGATTTGAAACTCTGTATTGCTCTCACCATCTTGTTTTGACTGATTTTCCTCTATTCTGTTATGCTTGATAGTACCAAGTTTGAAAGTCTAGGCAACAACTATGAAGACAATAAGATCCATTGTGACGCCCATTCTGGTTGACTATTATCTTCTTTTGAAGTCCTCTAATGTCTCCAATGTTTTGGTTTTATTGGGTCTTATTCTTTACTGTTTTGTTCAATTTTATTATAACTGATGGAATTCTTTTTAAGATAATAAGAGGCATTATGGTAACCATTGTTGATCACCTTGTATATTGTTTTTACATTATGTATTATGTCCATCCTTTTGACTTGACTGACTCTGTCCTGATATGTCACGTTTGGTTTTACTTTCTTCAAAAAAAAAAAAGTAATAAGAACTGTGGGAGTAATAAAACCCAAAATGTGTAATTGTCATTGTACAAACAAACAAACAAACAAACAAAAAAAAAGACTAATGAGGGTGTTAATGCAGACTGCCATGAGGTCAAATGTTTTTAAAAATTATAAAAACAATATAAAAAAATAGTTCATTTGTTTTATTCTTACCAAACACAAATAAGGCATTTATCCTAAAAGGGTAAATATAATAAGCTATTACAATATTTAAAATGAATTATTTTTCAAATAATCATATACTTTTAAATATTCTCGCAGTTTATTCCTGGTATGTGTAATATATTTTTAAAGGTTAAATATGTTCTTACTCTATTATCAGTTTTTCAATTGAATAATCTGTCAAAATCTAGAGCAATAATTTGTTTTTAATACCTCAAATGCGTTCACAACTGTCAGGTGATCACTCCTAGTCTCCTTTGCTAATTCCTTTCTTCTTGCATCTGCAATCTTTTCTTTTCCCTAAGCAGGGGAAAAAAAAAGATAAAGGCAATTTAAATTTTTATGACAAAATAAAAATATTATAATTAAAAAGCTAATAATAATGTACTAATTAATTTTTTTATAAGTATCTAAAGCAACAAACTACTTTTAGCATCGAAATATGTTTAGTTTCTGCATTCCTATTTCTTACCAGTGGAATGACAAAAGGATCTTTGAAGCTGAGACTAGCAGCGATAGTGAGTACTGGGTCTAAGCAACAGAAAAGAGCTCCAAAAAGAATCATTTTCCCAATATGTGGCTCAACTGGTAATCGTGCTAAGTGAACCCCAAGAGGTGTCAATTCTTCTTGTTTATCCAAAGCATTCTGTAACAAAAACAAAAAAACCCAAAAAACTGATTTTTAAAACAAGTGTAGTAAAGCATTATGATTAATGCTATTCTAGTTCATTTAAGAAAAAGAACTACTCATTTTCTTAAACCCAAATGCTGCAAGTTAAATCTTAAACTGCCATTTCATTTTCCCTTATTATTCTGCTGTAGCTTTTTTCCACCAAAAAATAAATCTTGATTTTAGCAAAGATTAATAACTTATCTTGGCATAATTGGAAAAATTAAAAGAGATAAACTAGCAAACTTTTAGTCAAATAAAGAAAACCAACCAAATAGGCTTGAAGAGTTGCTGAAAAAAGACAGAAACAAAAAGAGACTGTGACAGATAGTTGACTGAAACACAGACTCCAGATTTTTCTTCTTTAGGTGCAATGAGACTGGAAGACAAAAGAAATGTGTCTAGAAACAGGGAACTGGAAATAATTTATGTTCTGGCTCTGTTATGGTTGATACATTGTGTCAACTTCAAAAGTTTAAAAGTTTAACTAAGGGACTGGTAGGGAGCCAGGATTCTTACTTTGTAAATATCCCGATAATCTGCAAGAGGAGGGCACAGAGATTTTGCGAGTGCTATGGGCGTGAGGTGGCATGCATATAATAAAAGGAAAAGGCTTGCTCTTTCTCCACTTTTGTTGGCTGCCTACCTTGAAGAGTTGCCCCCGTGTCATGCCACCCTGCCTGGGAGTCAGCTGATTATGGACTGAAACTTCCACAAACGGTGAGCTATCTAAACCTTTCCTTCCTTAATTTTGGATATTTTTGGGTATTTTGTCTGAACCAGGAGAAAAGTAACCAAGATAGGCTTCCTTAGTAATCTGGTCCAGCCACAGTTGTGAGTACTGTTCAACAAGCAAGTGGCTTGAAGACACCAAGGAACAGGCAAAAGATGTGTAAAAATTACAAATCTAGAATCAGAAGAAAAACAGAAATTCAAGGAGATTGAGGTTGGTATCTCTTTCCCTGGCGCAAACAACATACATCCTCTCTGGAAGAAATTATCATCCCAGCCTTTAAATTTTCATCTACAAATTATTTTGTACACAGAATTTCATGACACAATTAAAATAACTAGAACATAAGAAAATACAACAAAGAAATAATCTTTAAAATGCCATAAACATCTCATTAAATATAAATTTTTCCACACATCTTATGAAAACTCAAAGAAAACAAAGTTAAACGCTTGATTAGTTCTTGAGCCTACCATAATCTTGATAACTAACTTTGCTGGGAACATCTGAAGAAAACTACCAAACAGTTACACCTTAAAAAGACAAATACTGTAATGCCAAACTGAATCCAAGTAGCTGGGCTTATTTTAGGAATTAAATTGGTGAAATATCAATGTAATTTAATACAACAACAAAAAGCTCTACATGTAGGTACATGTAGAGATGTAGAGATGCATCATGTTCTCTTATGTAAGACATTATAAATATGTCAAATCTCCCCAAATTGATAGTTAAGGCAGTGTCTCACCAGCTCAGGATAATATGCAAATCAAATATGCAGACCAATATGCAAAATCATAGACAATTTGTCAATGGGTGCAGCAGAAAGAAGGATGAATTTTTCTGCAGTAATGATGGAAACCTTTCACAGCTTTCAGTGAGGAGCAGCCTCTTGTGGCACACATGCCACAGGTTCCCTACCACTGCTCTACAGTATCCACCCATCAGGTATCTATGTATATGAAAGCTTATGTTTCCTATCTTTATACGCACACACACACACAATCCAAAAACAGATGGTTAAAGCTGAATGTGAAAGATAAAATAATAAAGTTTAAAACTTCATGAGCCCACAGTATACAGACTTCTTATGGAGCAACAAACAGTAATTTTAAGACTAATATATCTAGGGGCTGGGGATTTAGCTCAGCGGCATAAGCACCTGCCTTGCAAGCAGGCAGTTGTAGGTTCGATCCCCGGTACTGGGGGGCGGGGGGGACATTATCTGACAGCATTAAAACATTCTGCTCATTTGAAACTACTAAAGAGCAAAGAAATATAGACATATATAAAATACACAACTGATAAAAGGTTCTGAGCAATAGTACACAAGAGATATGTAATCTATAATCCAACAGCAAAAACAGGTATCAATAATACATGGCAAAGATTCCCAAATAAGCAATTAACATGAAAAGCTACTCAAAAATTCAATGACAGTCATGGAAATCCAAATTAAATTTAAAAGTATCTAGATACCTACCACTGTGGTTAGAGTAAGATTGATAATACAAGAATCAGTGAAGCTATATTTTTACTTAGAACTCCTACCATGTATACCTAATGACCCAATGAATTCACAAATACATTCAATTTACACTAGGAAACTCTGAACACTGAAAAATATTCATATCAATGCTATATGGAAGCCCCAAACAGAAAATAAAAATATCTTTCAGTACACATGATGAAATATGGTTAAGAAAACAAATGAGCCACTGCATATGTAAAACCAATAAGGCAGAAGAATCTTACAATGCAACAGAAAAAGGAATGCTGTTTCGCTACACCAACAAAGAAAAAATCCCAATCCTTTATGAACTTGTATAACGTTTACAGAAGTGCTATACTTTCAGGGATCATTTCTACAGTGTGTATAAAGTTTATAGAATTGGCAAAATTAAACAAGTCTTTACAGACATGCCTATTTGAATGACAAAACAAGTGAAAGATTGCCAACAGTAACCATAACAGCACCATAATAGTAACAGTAACAATACCGTAACAGAAATTATGGTAGAGGTTATCTTTAGGATTAAAGGTTACAGGAGAAACCAGATGGGCAAACAAAGGGGTTTTTTTTTAGTATGTTCTTGACCTAAGTAAGTATTACACAGTGCTTACTCTGTCAGAAATACTACTAGTATATTATTTTCACTTTTCCTGGATGTGCATGTGTATTTCAAAATAAAAAGTATCTTTAAAATTGTGGGTGTCATCCTCATGTTGTCAAGTATTTGTTGCCATTTATATGTATTACCTGTGAATGACTAAGACTTGCTTTTTTATTTAATTAAGAGACAGGAAATCACCCCACTTGGGCCTCAGAGTCCAGGTGTGTCCTCTAGTTGTATGTGTACTATAAACAAACTGATTCTCTACCTCTCCTACCTCTCCAGAATGACACTGTATTAGATGAAAGTCTGGCTGGAAAGAGAAGAATAAAACCTTACTAATTCCTAAATTCCAGTGATCTCACTAAATCTAATCCAAATTTAAATAGAGATGGTTAGATAATTTACATTGTTTTTTCATTTAAGAAGCTTGTATTAGAAGATATTATGTTCCATTATGTCTAGATCATCAAAACTGATGATCATTAAAACTGATGGCCCCCTAAAAAACCTGCAAAAATATTTAAAACATGTCTTTTACTAACTCTAACGCAACCCTAACCAACAGAATTTCCTACTGTTTATTTTTTCTGAAATTCTATATAACTTGTATCGTTTTTATGTTTTTTTCTCCTTAAATAAAAAATTAAAAAAAAAAAAAAAAGCCTAATCCTAAAAGAACATGTCAAAAGTATGGTTTTATAACTTCCTAATTCATACCTAACATATTAAGCTAAAATCTAATAGTAAATCAAACTTGGTATTTTAACATTCATTGATCTACTGACTTACATGCTTTAATACTTGATGCTAGAAGGCAGGCGTGGTGGCACACTCCTGTAATCCTAGCACGTGGGAGGTTGATTGTTGCAAGTTCAAGACCCGCCTGGGCTACAAAGTGAGCCTAAGACCAGTCTGAACTGCATAGCGAGACCCTGTCTCAAAAAGACCAAAAAATAAGTAAGTAAATAAATGAATAAAATAAAATAAAAATTAAAAATACTCTATGCTAGAATTAAACTAGAAATTCCATTTGACTTATTTCTCTTCTAGGTATTTTCCTCCAAGTGTTAAAGATTGTAGCATTACAGTGATACATGCATACCCATGTTTAAAGCAGCATAATTCATAATAGCTAAATGTTAGAAGCAGTGTGCATGTCCACCAACAGGTGAATGGATAAAGAAAATGTATTTATACACATTGGAGTACTACTCTGCCATAAAGAAAGATACACAAGTCATTTGCAGAAAAATGGATGTATCTTGAGACCATATTGAGTGAAATTAATCAGACAAACAAGCTTAAATATTTCATGACTTCTCTTACATGAAAAACCCAAAATATAAACAAACAACAAAGTGAAAGACAACAGAAAGTAGGAAAATAGATCTTTCTCACACTGGAAGCTCAAGAGACAGATGTAAAGGGAAGAGAGGGAAAGAGGATGAAAGAAGGAATTATGATGTGCATGTACACACACTAGCTCCACACAAAGAGTGTAAGCATTATGTACTGCAAACATGTACTACTAAAAAACAAAAATCAAACTTGCCAGTTCCATTAGATGTCTTATGGAGAGCAACACAGCATCATTTGATGGTGGATCCATTAACCTACTTAGAAAATAAGCAATTCTACCGAGCCTTAAAATCTGTGGGGAAGACAAAATAATTAAACGTACATAAATATTGACAAAACAATTTAAACCACCAAGATGACAAATTATTTCAAATTAGTTATCTTATCAAAAATTCAAATTATATCTGTGACTCTTAAAAACATGCTGAAAGCCAAATATAATATTATTTACCAGTAACTTGAAAAGAAGCTGGTTAAAACCTCGGAAGTTGATTACTGATATTCTTCAAAATAAGGCTTAAAATATCAAAATATGTAGGATGCTAAAAAATGCTAAGTAGTTTCTAACAAGGGATAAATTTTTTTTATTAAAGAGAAAGAAACAAAAAAATAAAAAAAAGGTAGAAATAATATAGAATTACAGAAAAATAAACAGTAAGAAATCACTAGTTGTTAAGTTACATATTGTCATATTAGAAATAGTTCTTTAGGTTACAAATTTAAAGCATACAAAGTGACATTCAAATAGTGACACTGCCAATAGTTCTGCTCAATGATCCAACAAAAACTTAGTTATCAGTCCAACACACTTGTTTTTTATCTTAAAGAGGGTAAGATTAAACATATCAAAACAGAACAAAACAGTTCAAAAAGAAACAATTTAAAGAAATACAGATTTCAAAGCAAGTTCACTGGAGTTCTTCACTGTCTACCTTATTGTCTCTAGTTTTCTTCCAAATAGTTGTCCCCATCTTCACACACATTGAATACATACTGTGTATTATAGAACTAATCAAATCATTACAGGATGATGAAGGCCTGACATTGGGGAAGTCAATGACTACCATAGTGTCTCTCATTCTCTTCGTAGTAGGTGTCCTTATCTTTACATATGCTGAAATTGAACTTAAGAGACCAGACTAATATCACTCTCAACAGTGAATAATAGCATTGCTAGATTTTATATCATAATGCTGCAGATTTAGCATTGGGTTTCTTAGTGTCTCTTCTTCTTCAGAGAATCTGTTCATTACATCATTATATCTGTTCCCATAAATAGTTTAAAAAATTCTTCCCACGTGTGAATTTCTACATGTATATCTATCTTCTCTGTATTATAGGGAAAAACAGATCATTAACAAGACAACAAAACAAATTTCTAGAAAAACATGCAGGGAAAAAGACACATAAGACCACAATATTAGGTGATCTACCGTAGTTACTACGCTTTCTCTTGTTATTTTCAATAGACTTGTCCACATCATCAGGCTTAATATACTTAAAGCACAGTATTGCATTGCTATTTTTATAAAAACACAACTTTGAAGACGTTGTAGAACTTGAGAGCGATTAATAATCAAAACCGGTATGGATATCTTTTACATCTTGTCATCTTCAGCGTAGTTGCCTCTACTTTTAGATTTGATACTATCAAGCATACCAAATTTGAATAAAATCAGCCAAGGCAAAACCACGGTCTAACAAATCAGATTCAAATAAGATCAGTCATACTAAGACAATTAATTAATATAGGGTTTCAGTTTAAGTTAATAGGAAATTAAGGATAGTTACCATGGTATAACCTGCTATTTTGGGGTGAGATGTCTGTACCCTCAAATCTGATATGAGTGGACAGACCAGAACAAAATAAAATCAAACTAAACAGAGTGTTAAGACTACTGTGACTTTTAAATCCTGATACTATTAACAATGTCCTCTGCCTTTCTTTTTTTAGGCTATTTTTCACCTTTCCCTTTCTCAGGATGCTTTGTATTTTTGGGTCCCACTAGCCTCTTTAGTTTTTAGATTAGGGGGCCAGCCTGTTGTCTATCTGAGTGTTGCTGAACCTTTTTACCCCTGAGCTTGGTCTTGAGCTATATTACTTACTAAAGTCACAGGGTTTTCCTTCCTTCCAGCTGTGTAGTTCTACACTGTCCAAAAGTATCATAGCTTTCCAATCTATCTGTGGCTGCTGGATTAGTTGTTCCTATTTTTCTCTGGTTTCCTGTCAAATATAGCTTTGCTTTCTCATCTTACTTTCGGTTTATTAACCCTCTTTCGGGTTGAGTGTATTTCCTATTCAGAGCATCTCGATGGTGCCTGCCTCCTAATCTACTCTGCTTTTTTTAGTGTATCAAGGCTATCTATATTAAAGACTGTAGCTTACTGTCTCTGCCTCATGTCTGCTGTTCTATTTTACTGCTATATTTTGTCCATTTTACTCCCTCATTCCACTGTCTGCCCTGTTCATTGAGGCCTCTCTGACAGGGTTGCTGGAATCTTGTTTTTTTCTCCTCTCTCTGGAATGTCCTTCAGTATTTTTTGTAGGGTTGGGATGGTGACCATGACTCCCACAGTTCCTCCTTGTCTTGGAAAGACCTTATTTCTCCATTAATTTTGAGAAAGAGTTTTTCTGGGTACCTCAGTCTTGGTTGCAGACTATTTTCTTTCAGGGCTTAGAGACTATTTCCCCCTAGGCTCTTCTCGATTTGAGTTTGTGTTGATAAGTTTTGTTATTTTGACAGTTTTTCCATTGTTTTGACAGTTTTTCCATTGTAAGTAATCTGCTTCTTTTCCCTGTACTCTGTTCTTTTGGTGGATTTCTGGAATCTTGATTATTACATGTCTGGGTGTAGATCTATTTTGGTTGTAGGTGGCTGGAGTTCTGGATGCCTCATTTATCTGTGTATCATGTCTTTTTTCTACGCTTGGGAAGTTTTCCTTTATTGTATCTGTGAATATTCTTTGTAGTTCATTTTTGGTTAGTCCTTCTTCACTCATGTGCTTTATTCTTAAGTTATGTATCATTTTGTCATCTTCTAGCCTTTGAATTGTTTCTTTCTGGTTCCTGTTACTTTTAAGAGATTTTTCTTTTGTGATCATGTATCATAAATCTCTTTTCAAGTTTCAAAAGGCTAACTTTAGTTTCTGTCAAGGCATTTTGCCAGTTTTCAATGGAGTTTTTAGTTTCCTGGTAATCTCTTTGGATTTTATGTATTCTAGGTTGTTTAAATTCTTCACCAAGAGTTTTTCTTTTCTGATTTCCTCCATTCTCCCATCTGTGTTCTCTTGGGAGGGGCTTATCATTTCTTCAATTAATCTTTCTATATCTCTCTCACTTGGATCAGAAGTACAGTTTTAAATTAATCTATAAGGTCATGAATGTATTTCTTTATGTCCACTGATGCTGTGTCTAGTATTGGATGGTATTACACTGGTTCTCTTCTGTATTTACTTCTCCTGGGCTTATTTTCCCAGGTTCGGCAGATTTTTTTTTATTTCTATCTCTTGTCATGTTTCTGGTTTCTTTCAGACTGGTGTGTCCTGGGGGGTCTCTGGCCTTCTCCGTATTGCTTAGGGTCTTTCCAAAGCATGCTGCCTAGGGGTTTGCTGCCCTCCCCAATTTGCTGTTATCTGAGGTACACGCAGGGATGCAGGGACAGTGCAGGCTAGCCTCGAGCCTCTGAGCCAGTCAATCCACAAGTTAGGTTGTACCTTGTGGATGTCACAGAGTCGCGACAATTTTATAGCTCAGCCCCAACAGACCCCGCCAGTCCTCTCTGTGCCAGGGGCAACTATCTGATGTCACCACGGTGCTAGGCTCTGCCCAACTCCAAGATGTCCTCCACCAGTCCTGTCTGTGTCAGGGGTGGACAACTGATGCCACCAAGGTGCTGGGCTCTGCCCAATTCCAAGATGTCCTCCAGCCAGCAACAGCAGCCACGGGACCCAATCCCTAAAATTCACCGGGAATCAATACAGTTCTTCCTCTTGGGTCCACTTCACACTGTGCCATGTCTTCACTGAGCTCCCAGCACAATGTGGATTGGTCAGAAAACTACATGGTGACTGTCTTCAGAGCCCAGATATATGGTCACAGTCTCCTCTGGTGCAGTCAGGTGGCTCTGGCTGCTTCACAGGGCCCCAGGTCCCAATTTTCAGCACTCACTGAGAGCCAATATAGCTCTTCCCCTTGGATCCACTGTTCACTGTGCCACATCCTCCTATTAAGGGTCCGAGATTTGCCAACTCCCATTATCAGCAGCTGCTGCAACTTTGGATCCTCTGGACGCGCCTAGTATAACGTGGAATGGGTCTCAGTAAGCGTGATGGGTCTCAGCTCTCTATCTGTGCTTTTCCTTCTTCTTCCTAGTTTTATTTTTCCCTTCAGTTACCGCCTTGGTTAATAAGAATCATTATCCATTCGTCTGGCCCTCTCCATGTTGTCATATTCTAGCATCTGATTTGATTTCTCCGCAGAGACTCTGCACCCAGCCCCCTAGCAAGCTGCCATTTTTTCTCCCTCTCTCACGAGAGATATATTTTAAGATGTAATATTAGTAGCTAACATTTACTGACCACTATGTGTCACATACTGTTCTAAGAATTTATATGAAGTTAGATAATGTGTCCAATGTTTCAAGGAGGATGAGGGATTCAATTTAGGAAGCTTGGCTCTATAAAAGCACATAATAATACACTCTCTGAAGAAAGGTATATAGTTTGCTGAGACAGGATAAAAAGTTCTTATAAATTAATACAGTAGTTTCTTCTATAAAAGATACTGAAAATTAGAATACTGCCTCCCATTTAGATTCTTCATTCTCTTACCTAACTTACCTTTATTTGCAAACAAAGTTCTTCCAAAGGAGTTCTCAAAATTTCTGGTAGTTGATAATCATCTAGAAGACTTGCTCTAAGACCATTATATAGATGATAGCAATGACCAGGTTGAACTCTTTAAAAAGAAAGAAAGAAAAAAAACCCTCAAAAGTGTTATCAATGACTTTTCAGAATTTCAGAGAAAAGAAGGGAAAGTAGGCTGTTTCTTACAAGCCACATAATTGTTTCATATGATTATTATTTCATTTCTATGAGTCTTATTTCTTTTTTCCACTTATTCTAGAAAACTCCAAAAGTCTTTTTCCTACTTTGGGTTCTTTGGGCTTGGTTTTGTGACCTCGGTTTTTCTTTTTTAATTAGTACACTGACTGTATGTTTTTATGAGGTACAGTGCGACACTTAAATACATTTACAAAATGTGTATTGATCAAATCATGGTAATTGGCATTTCTTTTTCCTTAGAAAGCCTTTGAGTGCCTCTCTTAGCTCTTCCTAAAATGTTATGCTTTATTTTGAACTAGTCAACCTACTGTGCTGCAGGACATTAGAATTTATTCCTAATTGCATTTTGATATCATGTGGCAGTTTCTTTAATAAAGTAATACAAGATTCTGTAGCCTTGCCAATATCCTCGTTCCTTATTACTAACAGATTCCAGATGACCATGCTGAGATGAGCAGCCTACTTAAGATCATAATGAAGAGCTATAAACTCAAATGTACTTGTGGATACATGACATTATGTTGGCTTATCTACATCATTTAAAAGGATTTGAAGCACCTTTTGTTTAGTGACCTCTCGAGGACACTAGAAATTTCAGCTTCATATTGGCAACTAGTGATATGTGTGATATCATTTTTCCAACAACAATGAAGTCAGATGTCAAGAAATGATAGTAAGGTCAAGCATTATTCAAGCAAAATAATTCTCCAGGCTTTTGCTGCTATAAGAAAACAAGAGTTTTAAAAATTTACGCAACAGGTCTATGTAAGAAACAATCATTAACTATATAATGCATCTCTCTAAAAATCTCTTCAGAAATCCAAAACACTCTACTGAGGTGACACATAACTGTCTCCAAAAGTATGTCAATCTCATTAGATTTTGCTAAAGGAATGACTAGGCCAAAACATCAATTGCACAACTTTAATAAGCCACTGGAAATCAACTCATACTGGGTAATCTGTAAAGATCATGCCAGTGGGTCAAAGCTTTACATATAGACTCAGAAGGTTAACAAAATGGTTAATAAAGCTTACATTCAACTATCTTTCTCTTCAATAGGTCTATATCTGAAAATCAATGAGAAACTTTTCTACCAGTAAGAAACAAGAGAAACACTGTTACAGCTCCAGATATGATTCTATCATTCACACGAATAAGGGTGTGAAGTACGCATTGAAAGTAAGAAGTTCAAATCAAATACTTAGTATTTTTTCTTAATAGAGATTCTTATGCTACTACCACATCAATGAAAAAAAAGTACATTCCTGTGTTTATGTGGTTAACAACTAGTGAAAAATCTAATGGTTATCAAATATACTGATAAGGAACACAACTATAGAGATAGAGCATCTATATTCAAATTCTGGCTCTACTACAAAACCTTGTGACATGAAATTGTTTCTTTGTATATTTATTTTCTTACTCTGAAAGTGGTGATGATAACCTATCTCAAAACACTGCAGTGAAGATTACACAAAGTTAATACAAAGTGTTACATGATGATCTAACATCCACATAGCTCATTATTATTAACACACATTAAAAAAATTGAAAAATCACCAGTAACATAAAGCATCTTAATTTCAATGAACTAAAATAACGATAAAATACAAATTAAAAAAAGTGGCAGATATTTTCCCAAATATTGTAAACTATAACGATTTTCCTGTTTAAAATTGTGCTGTATTAAAGTTTAAAATATGAAAGGTAAATCAATAAATAATACTGTTAAATCACAGTGATGTATTTTGCTACATGAAAAGTTGTGTGGAGTTCTACAGGTCCCATCTTACCTTCCAGCTCGACCTTTCCTCTGTTTGGCATTGGCTTTACTAACCCACTCAGCAGACATTGTACTGATGTTGTTCTGAGTGTCAAAATGTGTCTCTTTAATTTTTCCTCCATCTATCACAAAAACTACATCATCTATGGTAATGCTGTTTGGAAAATGATATACAAAATATTAAAAACACATTAAATCACTGTTAGTCTATAGCAAGTCTACAGATACATTTTTATCACTCTTTTCATATTTAGTAGGATCAAGCAACTAGTGGCAGGCAGCGTGAGCTGGTACAATGGCAGCACTGTGCTAATTCTGTAGGCCGTGTACTTGCCTATGGCTAAACTTAATAGTTTTCCCAATAGTTTTTTACTTAATTATGTGGGTCCTTTGAGTTTAATACTAGCTTCTATAAAATAACCTGTTCAGTGATAAAACATATGCACCTTAAGGGTATGGAATAGTTTTAAGTGCCATAGATAACTAGTTGTCAAATAATATCCCCAACTGGAGGCCAAGCTAAAAGGACCAAACTGACCTCAATTCCTATGCTTCTTTAGAAAAGTTTTGGGAGAAAAACACAAAGGCCATGTTTATGAAAAAGCTTAAAGGAGTAGTACAGGTTAAAACCAAAAAAATAAAGCTATAATTACTACCATGATTGAGTTAAAAAAAAAAAATTTAAGAAACTGCAAGCAAGCATCTTGTACAGAAAAAAGGTAAGTTATTCTAATAATTTACAGGGCCTAAAAGTTCTATACTTATCAATAATTTACATCTAAAACTATTTTTACCTAGTTTCTGCAATGTTGGTGGCAATTACTATTTTCCGAACACCAGGAGGAGTTCTTTTAAATACCTGTAAGAATGAATACATCAAAATCCTAAGCATACACTAATTTCTGGTACATGATCATTATAATTACTTCACATTACATTCATTTTTAGCGCTCTGTTTGATCACTAACATATGTATCTATTATTTATATTTATAAAATAAATATACATGATTATAAAATTCTTTTGGTAAATTAGCTCTTACAGATTTGAAATCTGCAGGATTTCAAATAAAACATTTGAATTTATGGAACACAGTTTAAGAAAAGTAGGATGTACAGAGAAAGAAGTTTAAGAACTGTGAGGTGAAACCTATGTAGGTCAGGACATCAATGCCTAACCAATAAAAATAGATGTCAGCTGCCTGTGCCATTATATAATTTGCAATTATACTGACGTAATACAACAAAAACAGCCCTTCAAATACTGAACTCTACAAACAAAACAGTTGTTATGGATTAAATCTGATGGTCAACTTAACACCAGATAAATTAAATCAGTATGGTGCTAACTGTAGATGTTCTACCTGAGGAAAATTGCCAGCATAAACAGAGAGATGGAGAAGGAAAAGCTAGGTGTTGTGGGTTTCTCTAGGTGTTACTGTTTGAGCTGTTGGTTCTCCTGGAGGAGCACATCATGACTAATTTCCCCAGTGTGAATTTGATCACTGACGTAAGAGGAGCTCAGGATCTTGTTAGTGAGAATGGCTGTGGTTCACTTTGGGGACCTCCAGTCCTTACATTGAGCATCACTTCCTGGCTCCAGATGGGAGGATGTGTGCTGTTTAATCTCCAGAAGCAAGTCCTCACACTGGCTTTCTGGCATGTACTTGACTATCCTTATCGTCAGACGAGCTCGGCACCTCTGTGTGGCTGAGGATGGCTTGTGGTACTTTTCAAGACAGCCCTGATCCTTATTTCAAGCGTGACTTCAGCTTCAGTGTAGAACCCTCAACCTACCAGCAGAGCTCCTTTACACCACTAGCATAGACTTTTTAGGTTCCACTGCTGACCTTTGGGCCTTCCTAGCACAAATCTGTAAAACAGACTGGCGCGAGTCCTTTTTGTTGGACTCGTGGGAGGCATTGTCATGGGCTCTAGGCTTTCATCTGGACTCATGTAGGACACTGCTGTGGGATCCAGGCCCTTGGCTGAATATTCTTTCTTTAGTGTTGTGGATAGATTCTCTGTACTTTCTTGTGTTAATTCCATGTAATCATCATAAAATAATACTATAAATTCTGTGCCCTGATTCTGTTTTCCTCACAACCCCTGACTGCAACAACAGTCTACCCAACAATGCAACCAAAGAAGGAAGACACTGTAGTCAAGTACCACTGGTTACAATGGTTACAATGCAAAGGAAATGCAAACATCTATCCACTCATTTGCAAAGATAGTAATTGAAGAAGAACAATGTTCCCCAGTCAGGTCAAATATACTCCAGCAAAAGAATATATACTTTACTAGGTTTGGGGGTAGAGACTGAAGTACTACACACTATTCTCCTCTCGAGTTTGTGGGATCAGAAGTCCAAAAGTTCGTTATTTACCCCTCTGTTCCTTCACGTATGTATTCTGTATCATTCAGCTGGCTGAGTCTTAACCAGCACTAGAGTGCTAATAAATACAGTAGAGAGTTTTTTTCCCCCTATAAAAAGAGGTAGAGAAACTAAAGAGGAAAAAATATAGATTTTCTGAAACATTTAAATTTGCCAAGGTCTGAAAACAATGTAGTGCAGAAAATTACCTTTCTTCTAAGAATAGGGTTCATTCTAATTAGGGAAAGTCCTGTATCTCAGAGCCAAAACACAAATATATTATTAATGAACAGAAAATCTTGTATCTGTTATTATACTAAGCATAAAATAAAAATCCCAAGCTTCAGGCTATACTATGTCATAGAAGATTTATTTCTAGGTTTAATGACTTTTAGTGATATTTATACACTCATGTATCTTCTTTTATTCTGGGAACACAAACAAGTTATTGGTGAAATCAATTCTTTAAAGTTTTCCCTGTATAGACAAAACTAATTTGATTTTGGATTACCCCTTGTTAGTCAACTTTTTGTGCAGTCATCCCTGAAGCACCATTTGTTAAAGATGCTCAAAGAAGCATTTTTTCATATGGATTACTCTGAAAATGCTTTTTAAAAAAAGAAACACAAAAACCAGTCCTTAAAAATGCTTCAGCTTAAAAGAAAACAAATACATTTAACAACATACCTGTGTCTGATTTACTGTAGGCATCAGTGAATGTAACGGTATAATGATAAATTTATCTGAAAATTTAAAAACAAATTGAACTTTAAAGAGATGCAGAAAAGACCTACTAAACATATATAGAACAATGAATTCAGATGATGAACTATATTATATATTACATGATTCTTAATTTATGTTTCTACATATAATTAAATTCTTTTATTTTTTCCTCACTGTCTTGGCAAGTTTCAGTTTCTTTTATTAATTTTATATTGATAAACATTTTGTCCAGATTTCTGAAGAATGCTCAAGTTGAGAGTAGGTCAGGTGCCATGGTGCAGGCCAGCAATACCAACTACACAGGATGATGAGGCAAAAGGATTGCAAGTTTGAGTCCAGCCTGGGCAACTCACTGAGGCCCTGTCTCAAAATTAAAAAACAAAAACAGTGGAGGGTACAGTTTGGTGACAGAGCATTTGCCTAGCAGGTACAAGTCCTTGGACTTAATCACAGATATTGCAAACAAGATAACAACAGAAACAAAAAAATCAAGAGTAATCTTTTCTAACCCTGTTTCTACCACTAATTAAACGCCTGAGGGATGAAAAAAATAATTCTAGATATCAACATTTTAAATTTAAGGTTCAATTTTATTAGGTAAACTTAAGAAAAGTTGTAAAATATTATCTTTGTAACACTAAATAAAGAGCTTCACTACATACCTAGCACCTTCATTTGTGACTCTGAACTTTAGAACAGAACTGACTTCTTAAAAGAAAAACAAGGAAAAAAATGAAAAGAAAAAAAGCAATCTGGACTTAAAATATCAAATTTTTACACTGAGGAAGTCTCAGAACCAACACTTCAAGTCATAGAAGAAAAACAAACTATATGATTCAAATATCTCTCTTGAAATTGTAGTAAAATACACTGACATAATACCTGATTTAAACATCACTTGAGACATCAAAAGATCATGTAAAGTACTGATATTGTCCCAGCCTGGCAGAAAGACCAGGATTGCACCCTCCTATACAGAAAGGAAATAGCCATTACAAAAGATCACATCAACACAATACACTAACAGTAAAATTCTGCACAAATTAAGTCTTCATTAAAATTACACTAGCTCTGGATAATGTAATTACCATCTAAAAAAACAAGCTAACTTTTAGAAATCAGATTTATAATCCAGAGATTTAATCTGTTTAATCTTTTCTTTAAATAACTGCCCAAACACCTTGCTAACTTGAGACTATTTCTAAAAACAGCTCTTTCTATAACTTATCTTTTAAAAGCATTTAAGAAAATTATTTTTCATGGCCTTGACATATTAATCAAGTTAAAATTACACTACTTGAAGGAAAAAACAAAAATCAAAACTAACCTCTTCTTCCAAAACAATGTACCGGATTAGGGCTGCAATCAAATTCAGATCAACTTTATCATCATCCATCATTTCTAAAACATCTACAGTATTTGCAGAGTACCTATCAAAATTAGACAAAGTCATGAAATATCTCATAAAGTGTCCTGGTTTAATCTGCTACAACAACTTACAATGAAATCAATCTGTAAATGGAGAAATATTATATATAGGAGAGAATTACTGTGGCAATAAATATTTACAAGTCTAATCAGTTAGTCCTTTAAGTATGTACAAAACTGAGGAGTCAACCCCAACTTTTTGTTTTAATCATTCAGCACCATGTTCTCACCTTCAACATAAACTTACCTTCTTCGCAGCTCCCTCACATAATCTGGCCAGCGTTCTTTATAAATTGCTTCTTTTTCTTCTTTTTCTGGCCTATTTACATGCCCTTGCATGAAACCTCTCTTAAACTGGGATCTGTGTTCCTTTTGCTCTGGAATATATCTAAAATGAAAAGTTTCATTTTAGTATCGTCACATTTTTGAAACCTTGGTTTTACCTAATGTCTGTGACTTCTTAGGTTGAAGTTTTCCAAAAAAGATTCTTAAAAATATTTTCACCAAATCTTCCACTGAATGCTGGTTAAATTTTATTTTTAAGTGTTCACTGATACATAAAACTTGACGGAATAGAAAAAAAATATTCTTTTCTACTGAAGTATACAAAACTTTAGATCATCCTTAGTGGTCACAAGCCAAACTGGATGAGAACCAAATCAAATTCAATGATTAGGTTCAATGTTGACTTAATGTGGAAAATGCATTCAGTTCTTGTTCAATTTGGTTATGACCAGAACTGTGGAATTAAGTTCATGAACTGAGGTACCACTGTACCTAGAGACCATGCAAAACAACTGCTCAGAGTTATAGCTAACGGCAGATACAAAATCAGCATTCCAGTATTTGTGCATCAGTCTACCACTCTAAGAATACTTCCTTTTTGTTGTGCATAGTGAGAAGCACGAAGAATACAGAAGGAAAAACAAAATTTAAACTATGCCTTAACCCAGATCCTCTGAGTTAACCTAGAGGTCAGATTCTAGATGCACTGGGAAGGGTGGGTGGAGCAGGTGCTTTAGAGTCAGACAGAATTCAAATGATATCGTTGCTGTCAGTGACTAGTTACAAGACTTTACACCAAGTATTAAACTTCTATGCCTAAACCCTCCTTATTGTTTCACCCTACTCCTGATCTGGCCGTTACGTTTCTTTTTTCCTACTTTTTGGCTTCATAGCTCTTCAAGGAAAAAAGTATCTGAGGAGTTCTGATGGACATCTCTGAACTATGGACCAGTCTCTTGTCAATTCTCCTCCTAAAGCTATACACAGAAGCTGTTCTCTTTGCTTCAGGAGATTCTTTAGCTATATGATACCTTACCTAACTTTCTGGGAGTATAAGTAAGCAATTTATCATCATGTAACTTTAGATTACTGGTCCTTAAAAATTAGTCTGTTATCATCAAACTGTTGCTTATTATTTTCTTACAAAGTGTAAATGCACCATAAGAAGTGAAGCACTTGGTAGAAAGTAGAAATGGGGAGAGGAAACAGAAAATGTGTGAAGACTGATGATAAAATCAAGGCATAGAAGACGGTAACACACTGTGTTTCTCACTATTAGCAAGTTGTGCCCTCTGCGAAATATACTTCATCCTCCCTCATGACTCCTTTACTGCTTTTAGGACTTGCCCAGTCTTTCATTTCCCACATACACTAGTTTCTCCTGACTTTCACAAAACAGTTTACAAATCTGTCTAAATTCTAAGAGTATACACTAAGTCTTTGCTTCATTTGTCAGGGAATCTAACACAGTGCAATGTACAAAATAAACCTTAATAAACGTTTGTTAAATAAAATATCCAGTCAAAATTCAAATGGTTTTTAACCAGGTAAAGTAAGCTATGGATCTTTGCTCTCATCATTATCACTCTGATTTAGTAAGTGACTTGTATGTAGTCTTTTAAAAATCTCTAGTATTTATTCACATGTTTATTGCAGGTCAGGCACTGTGCCAAGCACTAATCATTGAGATGACCAAGACAAAAATCTTTGACCTCGAAAAGTTTAAAGTCTAATTTAAAAAGCAAAAACAGATACACCATATGACAAGGTAACCAAGTAGCAAATAGAAGTCTAAAATGAGAAAATGTAGTAAAGTACAAAATCATGAATAAAAGGGTGTGGGCCTGGCATTGGGGAGTGGTGCATATAAATGGGCAAGCCATGGCAGTCAGGACAGGGAAATGACACTGAGAAACATAGAATTAGGCCAGACTAAGGCTCTGGGGTTGACCAGCGAAAGAACTTCAGAGCTCTGCTTTCCTGGTCTTTTTTTTCATCACAGAACACAAACATAATTTTGTACAGTCCAGAATGTAAAAGCTCGTGGCCAGAAGGCCCAGTGCATCAATAACTTGGAGAGATAATGAGATACTCTGCTTTGATATGTAAAAACCTATAATGTTCTTTAAAAGAATTTTCAAAGGGACATGTTATATGCAAGGGGCTGCTTGGGGTAGGGGTGGGGGAAGAGCTCATGTAATCAGATTTGTTGTAGAAGAGAACAGACCAAAATACCAAAAAAAGAGCCATTATATTAACAACGCTTTGGTGAAAGAATGAGAAGGAATATTCAAGGGTAAAGATCCGAAGAGTTTGGGTGTGGTGAGATAAAGTACAAAATGACTTGGAGTAACTTAGCTAACAGCAAGAGCAGTTGGCATATGTGGTATTTAACTGCTTGGTAAGTACATATTAGCTTTTTAAATTGACAGTAGAGAAACTTGGCTGGAAGATTAATATCGTTAACTATTTATTACTTGGCAAGGCACACTGTTTTGATGGAAAATTGGTAGGGTCAAATAAAGAAACAACTTTGGCTTAAAAAATGTTACGTTCAAAGTGTCGATGATACTAGAATGCTGCTGAGTAGAAAACAGCATTCAGGAAGAGCTTCATGCCTGAAGTAACAATTAAGAGCTGTAAAAATCACAGAAAAAAACAGCCAGAAATAGCCATGATTACAGAATAAAGACAAAGAATTAGTAAAAGACAGATAATCACAGGGTAAATCATGTGTTAAAGGTAGGCAACGGATGTCACCAAGGCGAATAAAAAGCAGGTAGAAAAATAATTTAAAAAGTCAAAGGGGCTTCTAATCTTTGCTGACCAAAGATCTTTAAAAATTAGTGACTATTGGAAATGAACTCAAACTCTGTGAGGCAATTAAGTATGGAACATGAATGGACCATTAAATACTACGTAATTTTAATGTGTAACAACATTTGAAAATTCCTGAATCTATTGGAAAATAATAAATTAGAAGGAAATGGTCAAGTTTCTGAGACTAATGAAGTATGACAAAAGTGACCTATTTGAACTTTTATTTCCTAATGGCTACTTACCTTATTTTTTCAATTATATCTTCCAAAAGATATTCTACAACTGGAAAAGTAAATCCAGGTATATGTATCATTGGGCAGTTGCCTGTCGTAAGAGAAAAAAAGCAAACATTTATTTATATCCAAATATTAAAAAACTCTACATACTGTAAATAGGAAATGACTCTAGCAATATTCCTAACTTTAGAAAACGGTGCTGCAGTACAGTTCTCTGTTTTTCCATATCCAAGTTACCTAAAGTCAGTAATCTAGTCCTTACTCAGTAGTTTACTCCTGTACTCATGAACAGTATGCACATATCAGTTCTACAAAATAACACAACACTATGAAAGATTAGAGCCAATTTCAGTTGAATTCAAATCCTATTGGGTGTCTACTTTGTTTTCATCATTAGCCAAACTGGTGCTGCGTGAGAATCCACACTGTACTGCAACTGGCCTTACCCCTGGTAGTATCCAGAATTTGGGGAAGGAATATTCAAAACAAGGCTTAATTAAATATTTTGAAAAGACCAATCTAAAAAAAATCTCCTCAGTACTATTATTTAAATGCCATTTATACTTTACTTTACACATCCTATATATAAAGGCCAGGACAGCATCGGAGGTCAAAGCATCTGTGCTACTGTGGCTGACTCTGGCCTGTGTGCGTTTCAGTGAGACACTCCATGTTAGTTCCAAGTATTTAATAAATTTTTAGATTAGTACTGTAGCATAATATCTGCACAATTAATCTCACAATGGTTAAACAGGCTATATTCTAAAGGACTCTTAAAAGCTGGAACCAAGAAGACTATAAACAAACACTGCATTGTGATTTCCTGTCTTTTTCTTTGTCCTAACATAATTATAAGCAGGAAAGATAAGTAAGGTATAATTTCTAAAGAAAATACTTTGCAGCTAGTCAAATTTAGTTTCAGATTCTATTGGGCTTTTGTTAATTACGCATCTCTGAGTTACTTACTTCACTGTTGAGACTACTTTCTCATTTGTAAAACCAGGCCTAAGGTTTAACTAGGATTAATAGACAAAATCTCAAATACATTTTGAAGTGTTCCATAAGGTCACTGATACTGTATTATTATGAGGAAGTGGTCATCCTAGCCTGTGAGTACATATACAACACAGAAGAATCATCAAAAGGTTTTCATAAATTACTCAAATGTGTATTTTGACATAAGGATGCCACCTCAATTGTGTGGTGATAGTACCAAGTAACTACCTGTGTTCACTATGGGAAGTGATGAAGGCACCATAAAAATAACAGGCCCAGTTCTCTGATCACGCATTTATTTACATTATTTTTATTTTGGTTTTTGTTTTCTGAGACAGAGTCTCACTATTTGGTTCAGCCTGGCCTCAAACTGGCAGAAATCCTCCTGCCTCAGACTTCTGAGGGGTGGTATTAAGAGTCATGTGCCAGCAGGTTGGCTTATTTTAGTTTGGTAAAAAGTTAAATGCAGTGGTTTTCTGGTACCTTCTCTATGTAATAATCAAATTTTACTCACCAAAGTATTCTGAAAATTTCTCAGCATTCAATGTGGCACTCATCAATATCACTTTCAAGTCAGAACGAGAATTGAGAAGATCTTTAATAACAGTCATCAATACATCTGACTGTAGATTTCTTTCATGGATTTCATCTAGTACGATATGACTAACACTGGACAAATGCCTAAAACGAAGTGTGAAGCAGGTAACAAAAGTTAAAAGCAATCATTATTCTTTAATAACTGGAAAATCCAATTTGATAAATGCCTTTTAATTATTTATAGTTTCTTAACTGAAATATACTCACGGGTCTGACTGGAGCCACTGAAGGATGATTCCTGTTGTACAGTATAAGATAGAACCCTGTTTCCTTGGCAATCGACTGTGAATAAAATGTGTAAGTTAATTTTACTTTTCTTTTTTAATATCTTACTGGATAACACAAAAGTTTAAAAGAAAAACTTCACACTTAACATTTTAGAATTGCTTATTTAAACAGGTAGAACAAATCTTGCCTCCAGAAAAGGACAGAAGACATTTAGTGGAGATGAATGGAGGGGTGGAGGGGGGGAGATATTTTAACACACCAAAAACCAAATAATACAGTCAATTAAGGATTGAGTAGGTAACACACAAAAAAGAACACCAACCCCTTTGAGTAGAAATGATGTTCTACTACTACAGTTATTTTTCCAATCCCTCTATAATGTAGAAGTAGATTTTTAAAAGGCAATTTGGGGTTAAAAGGTCAGACTGCAGTATCAAGCCACCTATGCTGCAGCTGTTTTAAATGTTAATTTAATAGTAACAATCAGCATTAAAAAAGTACTTTCTTTTAAACTTCCTGTTTCAAACTTTCACTAAAATCTACCAATACAAAAAATGAATATTCCTTACCTCTGGAGACGAATTTGGTATCCGGTACTATTACCATTGCCACAAGACTCTGCTCTTTCTGCAGCGACTCTCTCTGCAACCTTTAATTTAAATAAAACACAGTTATAATGACAATAGTTTCTTTAAGACAAATATCCTGAAGATCTACAAAAATTTGAGATTGATGAAAAATAGTTCAGAATTCCAGATGTGTTTAAAATAGCTGTTTCTTAAAATCTGAGGTATCTAACTAAAACTTTCTTAAAAGCTATAGATCCTTATTTCTTATGCTTTTCATTTACCTTTATAATGTCCTTCCTTATAACTATCCTTATAACTTCCTTATAACTATCAACATTCCTTTGCAGAGACACTCCTTTCATTAATTTGTGCTTTATTTTTTAATTTTAGTTGGAAATCAGTCGAATTTGCAAAACTTGTAATTTGAAGTTAAGAACATACTGATACTCTTGTCTTGCACTTGGTTGTCTTTGTGAATTTCTTAGTAATGACACTGTTGAATTTTTTAGCAATGACTGCCAAATATAAACTGGGCATATGAAGTATTATATTTACGAGTGACTCAAAAGTAACCAAGTCACTTTGTGACAGAACAGTGATAAAATGAGGTTAGAAATGAAAATGACAATTCCAGGACTGGGGATTTAGCTCAGTGGCATAAGCACCTGCCTTGCAAGCAGGCAGTCATGAGTTCGATCCCTGGTACCGATAAAAAGGAAAAAGACAAAAAAAAAGAAAATGACAATTCCTATACTCCAGAAATAAAACTTTCCTTTAAATACAACCAGAGTACACAATTTGGGTCACATTAATTTGCACAAATTCAATCAAATCTTGGAAAAGTAAGAAAAAATAGTAAAACACTATAATTAGCATTTTTTTCATTTTGTGTATATCTGTGTATTTACAGATATCACCATATAGTAATGAAAATAAATGTACCTATACAATTGTGTTACGACAAGTCTACTTTCCATCATTCTATAATCTTAGGCATTTACCTCCAAAAAGATTGAAGACTATTGCTTCACTTAAATCTGTACTGTACACAGCTTAAAATGTTTACTATTTGTCCCTCAAATATGACATAATAACTGGTAATATAATTCCTACCCATAGATGCTATAGTATACTCAGTAATGTGATAAACAGCACTATCATAAAGTTAAAGATAGCACTAAAGCTAATTTAATTGGCAGTTACACATGGCATTATTATACAATTCACCACACTCACTGAATGTTCTAAGAAACTGCAAACATCTTCAAAGAATATATAATCCATATATAGGTCTTCTAATTAAAGGTAATAAAATTTAATTGAAAAATGTTATTTGTAAACGTGTACTGATAACTAGTACATGTGCTGCCCTGCAATTTGAACTTATCCACATAATTCATTCAAAAAAATCCCAAAACAATGTCTTATTTTTCCTAATTGGTAAGTTCCCTCTATTTGAGTAGCTGCATTTAACCACTAGCTGTAGAAATGTAGGCTATAGTAGGCTAAACAAAATAAGGTTTCCCAGTTTCATACTACTCAGGAAAATTATATACTAATAATACTGAGAATTAAACAAACTAAAAAAAATTAAAACATCTAATAAAAAGTAAGATTTTGGAACTTGTCATCTATTCTCTGAACATTTCACTGACTTTTCATTTTTTGGAATTTATACTAAGATTTTCTTGGATTAGTAATTTATCTTCAATTCATAAACAACTATTACCTGTGAGAGAGATATCATCATTCTTTTGGCCTTCAAAATATTTGTTCATCAAATATTGCCTTTAACAGTAACAAATATAAACCTTAAAAATACTAAGTTCTACCAAAATTCTTTAAAGCAGACTAGGAGATAAAAGTGAGATGAGAGATTTTACTTACTGAAATAGCACTGATTCTTCTTGGCTGAGTACAAACTATTCTGCAGGCAGATCCTTTTCCTCTTTCAATGTAGTTATCCAAAATGAACTGAGTAACTTGAGTAGTTTTTCCACAACCAGTTTCACCACTTACTACTGTTACCTGGTGTTTATCAATTAAATCTACCAACTCCTATTTTAAAAGAGAAGATAAATTAAGAATATAATATGCTAAGACTTGAAAAGACAGTAATCAAAATTCTACTGCAGTGAAAAATACATTTCAACAAATATATTAATGTTTTTTAAATTCTAGCATAAGCAGTGAAAGCAATTTGGATATCTAAATTAGCAATGTTCAAGAGAAAGTAACACCAAATTTTAAAGCACAATAGCCAAGGCACTGCTAAAGAAAAACACTTGTGACAAGAGCAGGAATAGACAGTTCCTAACTCCACACAGAGATATTAATATCGAATTAAAAGAATACTGACATTCTGAGCACAGAAGCAAACCACTGACTGCCTACTGGCTAAGTTATACATACACATTATTTTAGCAAGAAACATGTTCTGTGTTTTGCTTTCAAATAATTAAAATAAATGAAGTGTTTAAATACCTAAGTAAGTAAAGGTAAGTATTTATAAAAGCACATATTTGGTGAAGATAGTCTTAAAAATTTTATATATATACATTAGTATTTTAAAATATTAACCATTCTACTTCAAAAGGGTGAAAAAAGTTCTATTTTCACCAACAAATAATTTAACTTAAAAGTTTATATAAAATTTTCCATCTACTTTAACACACTATATATATATATATTCATAAAAAATTTATCTTTTAACACTGAAGTGATAGTTGATAAATACAGTCGCCCTCCTTATCCATGGATTCTACATCAACCAACCAGAGATGGAAAATATCTGAAAAAAACAGCTGAGCTTGTACTAACTCAAGTCATTTTTTCCCTATGCAGTACAATGTAACAACTGTTTATTTTGTATTAGATATTACGATAACCTAATGACGTCTTAAAATACATAAGCGGATGAGTGTGTAGGTTATATGTAAATACTACATAGCCTTTTATATAAGGGACTTGAGCATCTGAGGATTTTGGTATCCACAGCGGGTTCTAGAATCAATCCTCCATGGAGATACAGAGGGACGACTGTACTGAGAACGGGAATAAAACTCATTCATTCAACAAACATTTACCAGATGTCTATATTATGCCAGGCACTGCTCTGAGTCAAGAGATAAAGAGATTGAACAAAACAGACCCTGTCCTCAAGAACTTACATTGGACTAGGAAGGGGAGACACACAGATGTCAGGTGGTAATAAGTGCTATGAAAAGCAAAGAAAAATAAAAATAAATAAGGTTGGGAGGATAGAGAAGGATGGGGGATTATATTATTCTATGTAGAGTAATCATGTGATAAAGTATAAAAAGTTAAACTACAGTAGTCTAGTAGTGCCTCTATTTTAATTAAAGTCTTAAATTAATGGCACACTATTTATGCAAGGATATTTATATATGAAAATTGCCTTTTAAAAATGCTACAAAATTTTAATTACGGATATAAATATGATAAGACTCCCAGAAAACTACTTCATGATCACATTTTACCTTTCATTCTTCTACAATTCAACAGAATAAAACTAACTTACTTCCTGGTAAGAGAAGGTCTGCCAACACAGTTTTTTTAAAAACATACTTTTAAAAAAAGGTTTTCTAACTATCTGTAAATCTAACTAGTATAAAACACTTTACCTTTTGCATTCCATATGAAGGAAGCTTTTCCCTGAAACGCTGAAATTTAAAAAAAAAAAAAGGTTTTAATCTTCATAAAAGAAATGCAATCAAATTACAATCACAGTAGTGAGAATATATCATATTTAAAAATAAAAGAATCCAAAAGTTTGCTATCTTTTAGCTTGTTCAACATATCAGGACATCTTCCTATAAAAAAGAACTTATTATTTCTTTCATTTTGGAAACATTAAAAAATAATTCTGTGTAACAAAAAAAGACAATAATGCAAAGTCAGTAAAGTAAAATGAAATCTCATCTATCACCAAAATGCACTTTACTGTTTTGAAAACTTTTATGAAATTCAAGTTTATCCATATTTAAAAACACTAAAGACTAAGTTTTGCATTCAACTCAGCGTATCATATGACATAAAAAAATCTTAAGTGGCATAAAAATACACCAGTTTTAACAAATTCTATTGAAATGGGGAAAAAGCTTTAATTTAAAAAAATGAAACTAAATATAAAAAACAAATAAAAGCAGAATTCCCCAGGTAATCTAGTGTATTACTGTCATGCTTATCATAAGGTAACAGTCATTAACACCACAAAAATGACAAAAGTCAACATAACGTCTTAAAATTAATTTTACTGTTTAAAAAAAAAAATCACATTTTTCTAACCAGTTTCCCCTGTTTGCATTCTGTGTATGTAAATGGTCCTAAAAAAGATAGCTTTAGCCTAAAAATCTTTCCCAAGGCAGCTAAACAATCTGTTTCCTAATTTATAAATGTAACTGAAGTGATAAGCTGTTTTAGGATAGGGAACATCTTTGCTCTTCAAAAAACAGCCTGGTAGCCTTCATCTATAAGTAGAAACTTAATGTTTATTACAAAAAGTATCACATAAAAAAATACTGGTATTAACAAGAAGGATAAAAAAGTTGAGCTCTTAAATACACTTGTATTTTGGTACACGTGAAGCATTTACAACAAGATCTTAGAAATAGTTAAGATGAAACTGTTTTTGTTTTATACATTTCTTCTTTATGTGAACTACATTACCCATCTTCAATAACTGTATTCAATTCTTGTCTACTGCAAAGAGAGGAACCAACATTCTCTGTTCTTAAGACTATCAAACTCTTAGCCACAAGATTTTGAATTAATTTGTCCCGAAATTGACTCAATCCTCAAATTATATACTCATAAGCATCAAAGTTATACAATCTGCCCCCGGACCATCTGGGCTCATCTGCTCTAATATGGAAATCCAATTTTCATCAGTGATGGTTGATAGACAGATGTGATATTCTCCTTTCTCAAAAAAGGTAGTAGAGATTTGCAAAAAGATATGACTCTCCAAACTCCCTCAGTACTTTAATTCATATATATATACACACACACATGAACATTTTCTACCTCTAAAGCACTCACAAATTATAAAATTTTATAACTTAACTGGAAAGGAACTTAAACTATCTTGCCTAGTATGAAAATAATACAATACTTTAGAAAAAGTTCAATCCTCATTACAATCTTAAACTTACAATGTTTATGACTATATGCTTAACACATAATTTTTAAAACCTTTTGAAACATTTAACTTTATCATCCATAAAAGTAAAGAGATGTATTAAATAATCTGTAAGAAACTTTACAATTCTATTCGCCTTAACTCTTAGGACATCTGACTTAAATTCATTTAGGAAAGTTAGGTTGCTTTTGTTTTCATTGGCATTAGCATTTTTCAAATATTTCTCCTTAACACATAAACTTCTGCAGATAAAAAACTACATATTGTATGGTCCATTAATTTCTCCCTACAGTTTTAACTGAAAAAAAATTTCTACAAAGATTGTCTTACTGAGAAGTTTCACTGAGCTATACACACAATTACTTTTAGTCACAAACACCTTTCTCTAGAGTGAGAATGACAGTAAACATTTTTTCCACATCTTGCTTTCCATTACCTGCATTTCAATATACCGACGATCAGTTTTTTTCTTCTGTAAATCTTCTAGTAATTGTTGGTCTAAGGTTAGATCTGGTTCATTTTCTTGCAAAAGGTATTCAGAATCCCGATCAATATATGATCTGTCTCTGAATCTTAATGTCTTTTTTTCTTGGTTTATCAATTTATTTTCCTGATTGTCAAGTTTCTTCTCTGAGGTTGACTTATTATCAGCAGAAACTTCAGTCCCATATCTATATTGACAAAATAATTGCAAAAGTCAAAGGAAGATCCACTCAAGTTCTGAAACAAAACAGTATACTATTTAAAAATTACCAATATTGAAAGCTTCTATTTTTTACTCTATGAAGCAGTTGTGAAACAGCGATATTCTACAGTAAATTCAAGCTTTTCCTTTCAAAGAGCTATTCCAAGGTAAGTTATTCCTTGTGATGGTTTAAAAAATAAAAATCCTTTTTTCATTTCCTTTCCTAATAAACCAAACAATAAATTTATCCTTGACACAGGCAAAAAATAAAAAAGATAAAAATCCACATAATAATCACTGCTCCACCATAATGTTCTTTTCCTGGTTTTCTTGGATTTGCTTTATTTTACAAATTCATTTTCTTCCTTGAACTACAAATGAAATACTACATCATTATGTACTTATTGAAATAGCTATAAATTTTTCTCTAAATGATACAGTTTTTGCAATCTTTATAAATCAGAAGTAATTTTACTTTGTATAGACCTACCCACAGAATATTTTGGAATATAATGATGCTGGTTAAAAACACAAACAGCTGAACATATCTCATATTTAGACAGACTATTCTTCCCCATACTCTAATTTAAAAAAATTACTTCACTAGATTCTACTTATTGAAGACCCTAATAATATTTTTAATCATAATTGTCTAGCCAATGCCACAAAGAAGTACAATATTTGCCTATTCTTCAAAAGAATAGCTTTTGTTTTACCCATGATCCTCTGGGGCAAACCAGGATATCTGCGCTTCTGGATCTTTATCATTTTTAGTTTGGACAGAATTTAGCAGCTGCACAATTTGCTCTTCTCGTCGTTCATCCATGTGTACTACTGCTCTCTATTTTGTACAAAAGGAAAAAGCATCTTTATCAACATAGGAAAGTATGTGCAACATAGTTTATTACTATAGGAAAACATGCTTACTTGATAACTAAAAAGAAAAAGGCATTGCAGTATGTTCAAAAGCTTATAAAAGAAGCTAAAGTTACCCACACTTGCCCTCTAGCTCACTCAAATTCCTGTATCAAATATGTTAATATTTTTGTGTATATCTTTATAGACCATTTCATACTTTGAAACTATAAAATCAGATCTAAATATAACCTGTGAACAAAGAATATTTGTGTCTATTTCTATAATTCTGATTCCCTTAACTCCTACTTTGGGTACTTAAAAATATTTTTTTATCTGAAATTTTCAGTTATTAAAACCCAAATGTTCTGTTAAAACAAAAACAAAAAAGACTGAAAACTGAAAATAATATTTTGATTGTAATATTTATAAGTTCTTACAGTAAAATAAATAAACTAAGAAGTTAGGAAGACTGATCTCAGAGGAAGTAAATAAAACTGACCAGCATACCAGGGATATAGTTCAGCAGCATATGCGCCTGCCTAGAAAGTGGGAGGTTATAAGTTCAATCAATCCCCAATATCAACAAGACAAAATAAAACAAAAACACTGACTAGCACGCATCATAGATGGAAAATGACCAATTGTTTCAGAAAATGAAACTAAAGAAAATGCCTTATTTGAAAAAGATATGGTTCTTGATGAATTATGAAAACTTTTAAATACAAATCTAAGAAATGAAATTAGAACCCAAGGTTAAAAAAAAAAAGAACATCAAACCCAAGTCACTAGAGTTTGTTTTTTAGATATGGCAAGTTTAACACTGGATTCTTAAAAAAATTATGACCCTACAAACATCAGGCTCTTTATGAGCCAGACTTAATACTGTGATGTATGCATGAATCCACAGGCAATGGGAAATACATGAGGAACGGTAAAAACAGAAGTATTTGTCCACAGAACTAAAAGAGCAGAAAGGTAAATACAGTAATGAAAATATTATACAATTTTAAAATATAGACTAAAAAAAAACCTTAAAACTTTCTCACTAACTGGGAGTAGAAGACAGCTGTATCAAATTCAAGGTTTGGTTCTCAAACGACAGCAGCTAAGATAAAAAATTAGGAGGCTGATGTGTAATAGGGTATGTTTTTATGTACATGTGGTAGAGTTGATGTCAAAGGACAATGTTAGCTTGAATTTCAAGACCCATGAAAATCAAAGATGAAATTCCCTAGCTGTAATGATTTTAAGGCAGACAGAAATATGAAACTGGATCTCTTGATTGTTTTTAGAGTTTAGGACAAGAATTCTGGAGTGCTCAACAAGAGATGGGAGCTGAAATCACAGATATACAGAAGGCTTCTTACTCCAGACAAAAAAAGAAAAGAAAAAAACAACAACATCATCTCCAATGCAGAAATAAGGGCAAAATTTTAACAGTCTGCCATTCAAGGGGCCAAAGCAAAAGACAAAAAAACAGGTCAGTAAATGAACATCACTGAACCTCTTTGTAAAAAATTTTTTAAAAACCCTAGCAAAAACCTTATCTTAAATGCTCCAACTCCATAAGCTATTAACTATTTTTCCTCACATCAAAAATGCTCCATTTCTCATCTTTCCCTCTTGCCACCCTATTATAATAAGAGTTTTACTCCCACCACTCCACAGGATGGGCTCTCAAGGCTCACTAATGACCTTGTTGATAAATCTACATTCTCATCTCTTGCTTTATGACACCTTGCCATTACGTTTCTCTTCTCTCCCTCAAACACTCTTCCCAGGTTGTAAAACACTATTCAGTGCTGTACTTTTCTTTTCTGGTCCTCTTAGATTTTTCTACAACTTATTTCCCCAAGCTTATATCCTAAATATCTGACTTGTACCTTTTATAGGCCAGCAGCACTGACATCACTGGGAGACTGTTAGAAAAACAGACTCTCTAGCCCCAGGCTCTCTATCCTAGTCCTATATGCTAACAGGATGCAAAGTGTTTCCTCTACACCTTCAAGTTAAAAAACACAAATGTCTAGAAACTCCAGGCTGGGGTCTTTTCCTGTTCTTACCCACACTCCACTATTCACAGGCCTATGAACTGGCAAATGCTCCTTCCTCACCAATGTAGGAATTATAACCATCCTGAAATTCTGACCTAAACAGCTGATAGGAATATCAAACTCACAATGTCTTTAGTTGAGTCCATCATATTCCTATAAGTCAGAGTCATGAAAGTGTTATCCATCACTTGTGCTCATTCCCTCAGATAAAACAAATCACAGACATATTGAGTTTTACTCCCTAAATCACTTTAATCTGTCTACTTCCCTCCATCTCTACTGTCCAATTCCTAACTCAAACTGCCATTCCCCACCTTAATTACTGCAAGGGCTACTTAACTGGTCTTCCTGCCTAGGACAGCCCCTCTTCAATCCCTTCCCTACATTGCTAATCAAGCGAAGTTAAAAAATAAAAAACTCAACCATTTTATTAAGTTCTTCAATGGCTTGTTAAGGTTCTTACGAAGAGTCCATATATTTCAGGGTACTCCTTATGTTTCTAATCTAGAGTTTTTCAAACTGCTGTTTGCAAAGTGGTATTAAAAGACCATGACCTCATGGATAAGAAAGCAGAAGAGTATAGAAACAATAGCAACAAAATCCAGATGTGCAGGTAGGTTTATTTTATGAAAGTTTTGTTTTAATTATGTTCTGGCTATAAATTAAAATGCCTTTCCTTTTGCACGGAAATGAAAATTTTTTCATGACAACTTTTCATCTGCTTAGGTTTTTTTTTTTTTTTTAACAAGTTAAACTGTAAAAGTCCTTGAACACAGTATTTTTCAGATTCCTTTAGCAACATGCATAGAAATAGGTAATCTGAAGCTGATAAACGTTTTCCGTACATACCCCTCAGTTAGGACTCCAATTACTGTGCCAACTTCAATATAGCTTAATTGTATTCCTCCAGATTTTTCAAAAACCAGTTTTTCAGTGAATTAGGGTGTGCAGTCAAAATACTGGTTGATTTGTTTTTTAAAGAGAAGAATGTGGTAAGCTGTGAAGGTGAACTGATAAAACCCAAGACTATTTCAACAAAAAGATTTCTATAAGACAAAAATAAAGGGTTCAAAAATAGTAGAGTAAGCCAGTGAGATGGTGCAAGCCTTTAGTCTCAGTACCCTGGGCTGCTGAAGCAGGAAGCTTGCAAGTTCAAGGCCAGCCTGGGCAATTGAGTGACTTAGCAAGACCCTTTTTCTCGAACAAATAAAACAAAACAATTTAAAAGGGGCTGCTGATGTGGTCCAGCCCCGGATTCAACCTCCAGAACTGAAAAAAAACATACAAAACAAAATACATTGGGCCAAAAGATGACACTTGGTATCTCCTATAAAAGGTGCTTTTCAGTAGGTCACAGTTCAAAGGACTACACCAGGGAAGCTTTTTTTAAATGATAAAAATCAGTTTTTAAAAATACGAACCATTAAGGGACTTTGATATCCTTTACTAGATTTTAGAGTTGTCACTCCTTGAATTTGTAAATCAAACTGACAATTTCCTAAAGAGGGTAACCAAATCGTATCCTGAAGTTTCTTTCCCCTCTAGGCTGCTACCTTTTTTTCTTAAAGAGGAACTGTTAATCAATACAAATTTCCTCACCCAACACACGCACGCGCGCGCACAATACCTGGAATTGTGGTTAATTTAAACTGCAATAATAGCTGTTCTTTCTAAACGACCTACAATCAAAATAGTACTTGACACTTCTACGTAAAACTCATCTGCAACGTTAGGTCACCGTTTTTTGACTTCGCCAAGGAAAGAATTTACGCCAAAGCGACAATAATTATGCCCAGAGGAAAAGGACAGATACATGACAGTGGGGTACCATTACTGAATTTCGACTGGAACTGGAATTTATGGTTTCCGTGGATGTTAAGCAAAGTACACATTCACCTTGTAGACCCTGACAGTGTGCAGGCCCGATGCACACGGCTAAAGTCAAACGGTGTAACGTCCGCCACGGGCAGCCTTAGCGGAACACGCGCACCTGCGCTTGAGTCACACTACACGAAACACGTGCATCAGTCATAACAGAAAGACTGGAGGCAGCGGGTGAGCATCGCCCCTTCCATTATTATTTCAGATTACCTCCTTCCTCTCCGCCTCCTTGTTCTTCTGGGTCTGTTTTTTCGCGTACCACAAGCCAATTTCGCGGCCTTTCAAGTGCCCAGGATGCCGACCCCTTCCGCCTCGACCACCTCCTCCTCCTCCGCCGCCTCCAGTGCCTCGACTGCCTCCGTGGCCCCCACCACTCCCACCGCTGGTGCTGCGCGAACCGCCATCGCGGCCCCAGTTCTGATGGTAATCATAGCTCATTGTCCAGGAAAACTACTCCCCCTCGAGAAGCCACAACCGCTGGAAATGGCGTCTGGGCCCGGAAGCGGATGCACAGCTACTTCCGTTTTGCTTCCGGAGCCCAGAGCGAGAAGGCGGGCACGTTAGCGTCACAAGCAGCCGTTTCTGGTGACGTCATGTCCGCCCGTCGCGAAAGTCCGGAAGGAGGGGTAAATGAAGTTTTGGAAGCCGGGCGAGCCAAAGGCTTGCAGCGGTTTTATTTTTTTCCGTATAGTTTCTTAAATCTAAGCTTGGCAAGTGAGAAGATGGCTTTAGGGTTTTATTCCTGGAGTTAAAATCCGGAATTTGTTTGTAATTAAGCCCAGAAAAGTAAACATCAGTTCAAACAAAACATGTCGATCAATGAGTGCTTTCCCAACATTATAAAGAAACGAATTAAACGCTTTTCTTAAGAACAGCCTGATAACTCTTTCAAATATATGATTAAAACTAAATGTGCTCTTGCGTTCTTTAACGGATTGTCACTTATCCACTATCTACATTTAAGTGCAGAGCACTTAGGACTTGTAAAAAAGCATTTGAGGACCCGCATGTTGTTTTGAAGTCACATAGTATTAAGCAGGGCACTGAATGGTTTGTGCAAACTTATTAACAAAATGATTGAGCCACACAGACTCAATGACACCAAAGGATAGTCACTTCACTTACTATAACTGGTTTAAACGTGTTGCAGATACTGCAGAAGGCAAGTGTGGTATGAACTTCCATTTGCTTACATTCTTGAGAAGATGATAAAGGCAGAATCACTGTACATTGGATTAAGAAAGGAAAATGCTATGTGACCTGGAGGGTCCAAAATTTGCTTGTGACCTAAAGTTGTTTCAGTAGATGGTATTTGAGTTCATAAAATCTTTTTTATCTACCAAAAACAAAAATACCCTAAGCCTCCCAAAAAACTCAAGAGAACTAATAAATCCCCTTCCCAAAAGGAGAACCAAACCAAGCAAGATTAATGACTGGTAACTGGAGACTAAAAATCAACATACCACTGAGACACTCTCACAGAACATGTCTCATATTTATTCTAAGGACCCATTTATGTTTTCAAAAAGTCATTTGTTGTCTTATTTGTTGTTCTTTCTACTTCCCTAATTAAGATGATATTGCTGCAAGCATCTGAGCTAGTTAGAAAATTATAGGCAGTGAGACAGGGCTAGGTCCTCCATGGAGCCAGTGCGGACACCTGTCAGCTACGGGAAAGGTGATGCCTCCTGCAGTGGGCCAGGCCTCAAGACAAAAGACCATACAAATGCACCTATATCCTGGGAAAGAGTCACTGCTCTGTAAGAATGCCCGCTTTCTATGTGACTCGCTTCTCCATTTGTTCTTAATGTTTTACCTGAACTATTGATCTTATTGGCTAACTATAGTTATGTTTCACCTTATGCCCATCTGCCTTGTGAGTTCCCAGTCTTCCCCCACCTTGAACCCATGGTTTTACTCTATTAAAAGTCCCTGGAAAAGATAGAGTCCTTGGCAAACAGCTCGGAACCCCTTCCGTCTCTCCTCAGACAGAAGCTTCCTTTCTCTCAATAAATATATTCTACTCTTCTCCGTTGTTCCTAAAATTCAATCTTCGGTTTTAGAGAACACGAGCTCGCTGCCTTGGACCGCCACCTTTCATTCCCTATATCACTATGTATAGGTCCCGTTTTATCTATGGTTTCACTTTCCATGGTTTCAGTTGCCCTCATCTGTTATCCAAAACAATAAATGAGAAATTCCAGAAATAAACAACTCATAAATATTCAGTTATATGCTGTCCTGAGTGGGCGTGATGAAGTTTCATGCCATTCCGCTCTCCCCTGTGTAGCACCCAAATCATACCTCCACATTGTATTGGGTACCGTTAATCTTTAAGCCCTCTTAAATCAGTTGTAGTGGTATTGCTGTGTTTGCATTCAAATTGGCAAGTAGTGTCCCAAAACTGCAACAGTAGTGTTGCTGACTATAGAGACAGACCAAAAAGAAACTATAGTGTACTTCCTTTAAGCTTAAATTCTTGGATTAAAAGGAAAGAAAATAAGTCATTGCTAAATTGTGTAAATCTAAAATTGTGAAGAAGGAAAAAAACTCATGTTAATTTTGTTGTCACACCTTGAACTACAAAAGTTATGGCATAGTGAATGAAAAGTGCTTAGTTAAGGAAGAGACATTACATTTGTGGGTGAAAGATATGAACAGAAAACATGTTAGACTGATAGAAGCCTTGAGCACCTCATCACTATAGACATTGTATAACTTACCATCATCATAAGAAAGATGAGTATTAGACAATATTTCATGTGAGAGAAAGAGCACACACTCGCATTATTTTTTATTACAGTACTTTTGTAATTGTTTTCATTTTTAGTGATATGAATCTTACTGTGCCTAATTTATTAATTGAATGTCATCATGAAAGTAAAATAAAACATATACTATCTGGAGTTTTAGTCTTCCATGGGACACCTTGGGGCATGTCCACCACAGGTAAGGGATAATCCATATTTTGACAATTTCTTCAAGTCACATTTTTTATGAGCTCATGTGTATCATACTTCAATTTTTCTAATTTTTTTCAGTTTAATTTGCAAGCCCAAAAATATTGAACTATGAGGGATGAAAAAATTTTTCCTTTTTCAGTAGTCATGAGCTATTACAGGAAAAGCTTTTAATTTTTGGAGTTAGATAAGCTGCAGTTTTTGAGAGAAATAGACTTTAGTAGCCAAGTTAATGAGGGGATCATTACCATGCTGAGTTCTGAGCAGCTTATTATATTTCTTGTCAAATAGCCTCTCCACTGATCATGGACTGGGACAAAGAAGGTATAATCATTGCTCTGAAACTGACTACAGTGGTGAACATCTTCTATAGACCTCCACACCTCCTCTAGTCACATACGAAATTTAGTAAAGATGAGCTACACTGACATCTCTGTTGTAATATTGGAAAGAACTTCATTCTCCTCAATTTTAAGAAGTCTCTTATTCTCCATATAATTTATCTCAATGCTTTAACAGTTTTTATGTAATTTCTGCTTGGATCTAACATTTATGAAGTTCTAGGAATGGAGATTATCTGTAGTGTTTGCCTTGGAAAATGCAATTTTAATTGACTTCTTCCTCCACTTAGGGGTGGGGATGGTTTGGGGGAAGTGTGGATAAGAATAGCTCTAGTCCTCTATAAAATATACCAATGTGGCTAGCTGTGGGAGAAAGAAAAGATGAGAAAATGGAAAAATTTTCTTTCACATCAGGAAGGCATACAAGAACTTATTAAACAACAGTTCAGTATCTTGTTGCATAAATTTTTCAAACATATTGGGTAATTTAGTTGTCTTGAAAATGAGATCGTAGAGAACATCTGTTTCTGATTATAACTGGCTCAGATGGCCAAATTTGTGATTTTAAAATTATTATTCCTGATCTAATCTGTTAATTTCCTCCTTGCTATCCTACCATGGAACAAAACGAACAGTTTAAGATTGCCAGCTAATTTTTCTCATTTCTTCAGGACATCTCATTTCATGTAATTGTGAAGTCCTGCTATGATATACGTTTTTATCTCTCTGTTCTTTCTAAGATGGGGCTTTATGGAAGAGGTTTGAGGAAGGTTTTGTGTAAATATAAATGTCATCTCTTACATACCTACTGTTTTGTATTCTAGAGTTGTAGGTATGATCTCAGGGTTAGACCAATGCTCATTATATTTTATGCTAGCTGATTTATGATCTTTAACGCTTGCATGATTGACCCTGACTATCTCAACCTCATTTCCAGACTTCATGTTGCAGAAGCTCCCATAGTTGGCTGTCACTGCTAGTTGTTTTACTGGAAGACAATTCATTTAAAAGCTTTAACCATAAAGTTACTTTCTCCACTTCAGCAATTGCTCTGTCTAGATTGCTAGCTAGCATTGCTAGGTACCTTTGGATGTATTTTGCAATAAATGGCAGCTTCTGTATTCTTTCTCAACTACATAAAAGCTGATGAAAGTTCTGAAATACTACTACAATTATTATGACTATATAACAAATCACCTGAAAACTCAATGATATAAATAACCACTATGCTTACATATTCCATGGGAATTTGGACATGGACCAGGTAGGATGATTTTTCCTTCATCCAGGATAGACAAGATCTCCCTAGAAATTTTTGCTAGTTAAAATTTGGAATAATTTTGAGGCATTTTCATTGGAAAATGAATGTTCATTTGACATTGGTTGGCTATAACATGGAATGCTTATACACAACCCGTTCACTGGGTTTCTAGCTATGGCCTAGTTTGAGCCCTCTCACAGAATGACATCTAGGTTCTAAGAGCAAGTGTCAAAGAGCATGTTGGCAGTATATGATATTTTTATTAATTTCAAATCATATAGTATAACTTCTGTATTTTCCTGGCTGAGACAATTATTGCCTCTCAAAACTACCTTTAGAATATGACACAGTGACCTGGTGTCCCTAGTCTTATTTGTCTTTGTCTCCAACCACTTTCTCTCTGTCTCACTCACCTGCATTCATACTGACTTCTATGGTAGGTTCAAAACTTACAAAGCTACTCTCTAACTTCTGGAAATTTACAGTTCCTTTTGCTAGATTGAGATTACCCTAGATAATCAAATACTACGTTTCCTCACTTTGAGTCTCTGATGAAATGTTACTTTATTAGTTAGCCTTTTCTGACTGAATTACTGAAAAATCAATTCTTTCCATTATTTTCCCTTTTTTCTTATGTTTCTCCTTGGTGTTTATTCCCTCTGATCCCTATTTTATATCAATATACTTGGCTCTTGAAATACGTGCACACACATATTCTCTACTTGTAATAGGGTTATGTTCCATCATAAAATTAAATTTTATTAGTTGAAGATGAATTCAGTATCCCTAACTTACCTAGTGCTGTCACTTAGCAACAAAGAACTACAGTTGCTTTCTCTCATCACCTGGTGCTGGGCTGGAAACTGCAGCATTCTGTTGCTGCCCAGCTTGAAAAGATAATCCCACCATACATTACCTGTGTAGGAATAGATTATAATTGTAAATTCAAAATATTGCTTTTACTGAATATGTGTTATTTGTGCAAACTTTTCCTATATCTGAAAAATGGTACGTTTAACCATTATAAATTGGGGACCATCTGTATAATGTAAATGTGTAGTAAAGAATTTATCATTATCCAAAGGGGAGCCTGATATTTTCTCTCAGCTTCAGGGGAAGTAATCTCTAAATTCCTGGAATGTCATACCTGAAAAATTATCTTTTTTTCAAGGGGTTTGGGCCAGCAAGACAGTAATATTGTGATTTATTTTGAAGCCTTTGAAACATTTAATATTACCTTGACCTTTTGATGAGTGGAAACAATTATTAGTCATGTAAGCAATCAGTCCTGCTTACTTACACTTTTGAATGAATATCAATAGAGACTCTAACCCAAGGTTCATATAAGCTTCATGGATGGCAATACCTGTTCAGGTTCTAACAGCGATGCCTGGAAAGTCATGTTGTGTATGACTCCATGTGAAAAGAAAAACAAAAAGTACACATCGAGGACTGTTCCTGGACTTTACTTTATGCACTTCTTTCCTTAGTTGATTTTAGTTCTGTGTCTTTGTTTCCTGGAGTAAACCATAATTTTGAATCTATGGGTTTCCCTGAGTTATGTGAGTCTATCTAGTGAACAGTAGAAACTTGCAGTTTGCAGAAAACTGTCAGCTTGAAGTTGGTATCAGGATTGAGGCAGTTTTGTGTATGTCTGTACACTGACCATCAGCTCAAACTCTCACAACATGTATATTTATGTATTTATTTTGTTTGTGTTCCTAGTTATAAATGCAAGTACCTAGAAAAATTTCTAGCAGGTAACAGTCATTTACTAAATACTATAATAAATAAATGAATAAGCATAGCTAAAAATATGAGATAATCTATTTATGAAATCTAATATTATAGAAGCTTTCAAATAATACATAATCAAATTCTCTTTTTATTTTATTTTGAGAAATATAAAATTTTTGCTGCTTTCAAAATGAATTGCTTCTGTCAATAACAACTAGTAGGAACTTTAGACATTATGTGTGTGTGTGCAAATATATACATATATATATACATATATAATTAGGGAATTATGATTATGTGTCTGCAGTGTGTAGGAGTCACCACCAGATGGTGACAGTTTTATTAGGTAAAGTTTTTATTTCCACATAAAATTTAGAAAGGAAAGAGATACAGTATATAAAATACAGTATTTATTAATGCTAAGTATATAACTATCTTTCAAGGGTAAGATATTTGGACATAGCACAGGATAGCTAAAAGGGTATTTTCTACACTAGAAACACCATTTTTATCATCAGAGTCACTAAACAGTAAGTAAATTTAAGTAAGACTTGTGAAACTTAACATCCTCTCTTTATAAGAATTTGGAGGATCCTTTAACACTTATGTACAGCCCAAGTAGATTTTTCTTGTAGACTGATCTACTGTTGGCTTGGAATTTGAAATGTTATAGATTAGTAATCTGTTCCTCACTCATCTCTCAAATACGTCTTCAGGCTAAATGATCATGGTATTGTTTCAATGTAGGAAAAATTTAAAAGTATGTCTATGGTATACACAGTGCAATAACCAAGAGAAATTAAACAGAAATACCTTAGTTTGCTTGCTTTTGTTTTGTTTTGTTTCATTTCCTCCAGCCTAGTTCCATGTCTCGTGAAAAGAAAAAGGAAAACAGGAAGGAAAATGGCTATTATTGTCTCCTCACGATATACTCTTTAAACCTTGACTTTCATCATCTTCTCATTCAAAATGCTGACGTTAAAAATATTTGTTTACATTTAAATCTCTACTATTTAGTTGCATTATGATTTTAATGTTATTAAAAATTGCATTTGAAAGTAGCAATATTATCTTTATCCTTCAGAAAATTATACATATAAATATGTCAGAAACTGTCCTTTAAAAGGCATTATTAGTATATCCAATTCATTTTTTCCTTTGTAAAGATATTCAATGTTAAAGATTTATATACCAGGATGATTTGTCCACTTGTGTTAAAAGTCATCAATTTTGAAGATGCAAAGTATTGAAAACAAAACAGTATTTAAGGTGAGAATATAATTGAATTTGAATTTATATGCTATGATTATTTGAAATTTGCTTTATAAACATTACTAAGGACATTACATTTGCTTGCAAAATTTAGATAATGTCACATGAAAAAATGATATAACTATTTTGAAAATAACTTTTCTTGGTGGCTAAAAAATGTTCTCTAAGGGTGAAACACTCTGAAAGCTCATGTGCAATAATTTAGAGAGAATTTTGATTCAGTATAAGGAAATAAACAAAATCAATGATTCTGAAAAATAATTCAATCTATAAATATATATGTGTGAGGTAAGGAGATGCAAAGTCTAAGATTATATAATCAGTTCAGTAATTTTCAAAAGTAAACATTTATATAATGCATTTAATGCATGTTTACAGAAAGATTAGAATAAATCAATTTGAAAAAAATCACTTCATAACTTTACAAATATGCATTCCTAATATTTTAACAATATTATTTATGTAATTTTGCAACATAATATATTTAAAAACCAATCAATATGTATACCTTCCAATCACTTGACAAAATATGTATTTCCCTTGAAATAACACATGTCTTTGGAAAAGAAATAAGCATTTAAACCTAATATTTGAAGCACAAGTTCATATGCTGCAAGAATAGCTAAGAAAAGTTTTGAATCTGAAGCTTTAAGAATAGACACTTTTCTTTTAAGATTAGAGGATTTTTCCTTTGCTTTATCCAGAAGCTTGTTATTGTTGTAAAATCCACATCTCAGGATGTAATCTGGCAATATTTTCTTTCAATTTCTATTCAAATAAACAAAACAATTCTAGGAACAAGTATAAATTAAAACATTGCTGTAGATTCAACTTAAAGACTGCTATGATGGAGGCTTGGTGGCCAGGAAAGTCTATTGGGGGGACCACGGAGCTTTTAGAAGCAGAGCATGGTGGTCTTTGGGCACACGTCTTCAAAGATGTTTGTGAGACTTGGGTCCCTTCTAGTTTGTTTGCTCCCTGGATCACCGTGAGCTGAGTGGTTTTGCTCTACTATGAGCTCCTACCATGATCTGCTGCCTTGCCATAGCCCCAAAATCAATGGAGCAAATCAGTCGTGGATTGCAAACTTTAACACTGTGGGCTAAGTAAAACTTTTCTCTTTATGAGCCGATAATCTCAAGTATTTGTTATAGTGAGGGAAAGCTAACACAAACTTTTCCAATAATATTTGAGTTAAAGACTACTTCTAATTCCACCTGTAACATACAACATATTTGTTTTAAAGGCTATCTTGATATACTTAAAAGGCTAAAGGGAGATTTAAGAGAAAGCAAGGAAAGAACCACCTATTAAACTGTTTATACTTTATAGAAATTAAGGAAACAACTATTTATAGGTTAGAGGCATGCATATTTGCAAGTTAATATCTAATTTGTCATTTTGCACAAAAATATATTTTCTAGACACCAATATAAACCTGAAGCAGTAATTGGAACAAGCTTATATTGCTAGCAACATTTAGACAAATGTCTACAAATACAACTTGGGAGTTTAGCTACATTTCTTCCATTTTGAAAATGTCTTCTTTTTCCCTTTCAGCAAAAGCCAACATTAAGTATAGAAACACGTGATGGAAGCAGTGTATTCATCTGACAAACATAGGCAAAGACAGGAAATTAGGCCAAGATGCAATTTACAAAAATCTTTGTAGAAACTGGATAAGACACAAAATATTACAGTCACCACAGTGTGTGATCTTTAGGCAGCACATATAAATGCACTTAGTGTCTACAGTAGTTCCTGCTCTGTATACTAAAAATAATTAACTAGTAAATTAGTAAAGCTTACATAAACCAAGAAATAAAAGAAAATCAGTCTCAAAGTCGTGAATTCACGCTTTGAAGTTGCAGAGCCATTTTTGCTTCTCACAGGCCCACTGATCACTAGTTACTCTTGCTTTCCTCCTCCCGTTTCCTGTAAGCTTTGTTTAACATCTGGATTTCTTCCTGGTAGCCATCCTTCTCTTGGCGTTGCCTCTTACTGTTCTGCCTGTGTGCTTCGACAGTGTCTGGAATGGAGATGTTGATATCACCATCAGGATCACTTGTAGGTAAAAAGAGAGAATACGAAGCTGTTTCCCCTAAATCACACGAGACAAATCTGTTTTCTTTCCTCGAGTAGCGTAGTGAAGGAGATCTGACTTGCGTGGACGACTGGCTGATGTTGCTAATAATCGAAACAGTGTCCAAGGCCTCTTCATTATCACAAATTTCGAGGACCTCCAGGTGTATCTTCACATTAGTGTCTGCAAACGTTGAGGGAGAATCCTCTGGATTCGGTTCATGGCCGACACTTTTAGATCGGTAGACTTCTATTTTCTTAGAGGCCGGAGTTATTTTTTGACCTTCAGCACTCACTTCATAGGTAGAAAGAGAGAGGGTTTTCCCTGTAGGCGCGTGGAGAGACACAGTGCCTTGGAATGCACACAGGGGAATGGCAAGCCCACCACAGGACCGCTGAGGATAAAAACAAAGTGGTTGTTATTGAAAAGTAGTTCCAACGAGTGGGACATTTATAAGTGCATTTCATGCATCAGGATGATAAAGTTTTTTTGTTTTGTTTTTTTCAGAGCCATGTCCTTGGAAACTGATTGCATATAGTATTTAGGGTTTAAAGTCTGTCCCCCAGGCATCAAGCTCACTTTTTTTCCTAGGTCAAATACAAAGTCTAAATAAGCATAATGAGGAACGTTTCTTTGAAGATAAGGGGCTTTTTTCCACATTTGAAAACAAAATTTCTATACTGAGAACAAGCCATAGGGACATGAAATTGATTGTATATTTGTAATTTGGAACTGCTTATATGTTTTTGCTACATTTTCAGTTGAAAGAAATGTCAACTATTAGAAACATGCACTTCTCTTAATTAGTATGCAAGAGAAAATGGTAACTGTGAAACTAGGACTCATATGAGGTGCAAAGGATATTTCAGTTCTGAAGTTTCAGTTTTTGAAAGGAGAATGCTCTTCCTTTTCTCCTTCTTCCCTTTTTATCTTTCTAATATAAAATGTATTAAGTATTAAGCCATTTTAACTCTTTCACATGCATGATGTATATCTGGCTTATAATACAGATTGCATTATTAAACCAGGAATCCATCTTTTTAAATAGTATCATTATCTTTTTTTTTTTTTTTTTTTTTTTTGGTCCCGGGGATCAAACTCACAACCCTGCACTTGCAAGGCAGGCGCTTATGCCACTGAGCTAAATCCCCTGCCCAGTATCATTATCTTGCCATCATCCTTGGTAACAGACTTCAGAGCTTTGCTTTGTGAGTGCCAAATCATGAGTTAAAGGGCCCTAAAGCCTCATCCAGAGGAAATAGTTTTTTTCAAAGACAGAAGCTTCTATTTATTTTTAAGATAAAAATTTCTTGAAACATTTATTCAATTAGTATGTATTATAAATAGTCTTTGTTCTGAGAGTTGGTTAATCTGAAAGTTGAACTCTCTCAACATTATACTTCATTATGAGAAAAAACAAGTCCCACCTCAATCCTTCCAAAATCCTTTTATTCCCTGACATGGTACACTGATTAAACAATGTGCTACGGCATATACTAATTTAAAAACATAATGAAAAAGCTGAACTATCTCTCCCCAGAAGTACAGACAGTTCTTTTTAAAAACAACCTTCAGTAGAACATCTATAAAAGTCATATCTTTATGTTCACCACCTTGCACCACTGATGAGCAGTTACTATGTAAGCAAATGAGATAATAAATTTTTCTGTACCTGATTTTACACAGTTCACATAATAAAGATTTTAACAACTCACCCATGCTAACCTTATCTTCAAATGAACAAAAAAACCTTTACCAAGTCATCAAATAACAACTCATTAAAACTGGCATTTGAGAATTGCATAGTGTCAGTGTTAGCTAAGTAAGAAGTATGATTTTTCTGAAATACCACAGAAAGTCCTCAATAACTAAAGCCATTCTCTAAAACATTCATATTCAAATGGGTAGCTTCTCTTTGAGAATTGTGGGAACAAAAACACAGATAATGTAAAAAAAACCCTGATCACTAATGTACCAAAGACTTTTGAATAGACATTTCTCTAAAAAACATGTGCAACTGACACAAATACACAAAAAATGTTCAGCATCATAATTATGGTAACACAAATAAAAACTATGATGAGATACTACTTCAGGCCCTTTAGATTACTCCTATAAAGAAGCAAAATAGTAAATGTTGAGAAGGTTGTATAGACGTTGGAATATTTGTACACTGTTGGTCTTGATGAAAAACAGTATAGTTCCTTAAAACTGAAAACAATTATCATATGATGCAACAATTCCACTTCTGATTAAAATTCAATTCAAAACAGGATCTTGAAGGAATGGATGTTCGTGGATCAGTACTCATGGCAGGGTTTGCAATAGCTGAAATGTGGATTGATTACAGAGTTAATAAACCATTGCATTCCATGTGATTTATCCTACAATAGACCTAGGCTGGCTATTATGAAAACACAGATAAAGGATACTTAACCTAGTAGGGTAAGCAAAAGAAAGTCTAAGAATCTTTCTAGATCAGAGCTTAATTTTTAGAGGTGAGTATGAGTAGAAATACTTGATATGAAATATTCTTTACTAGCATCGTTCCAGAAGTCTTAGATGAGCAAAAATCAAGAAAAATAAGTAAGAAACACAACTACTGCCTAAGAAGAAACAAGAACATCATAATTTGCACGTTAAAAGTATTTCTAAAAAATTTAGAGAACAAAGATGAAAACTATTTAAAAATTTAGTAACATACTAAATTCTAGGTAAATATTAAGAAAACAATAGCTACGGCTGATGAAAAATGTATTTTAAAAGGTCCAATTCTAAATAATAAAATGTGTGAAATGTTATGAGGAAAACACTGTATCAACAAATAATTGTGAATAAGTAGACCAAAGAAGACATATTTTCAGTTTTTTTCTTTCACTCTTTTTCTTTAAAATCTCTTTTCTTTTCCTTTCCTTTCCTTTCCTTTCTTCTCCCCTCCCCATTCCCAATCCTATTTGAGCAAGGTCTTCCTACTTCCCTGATCTCTTCTCCATGTTCCTCCTTATTTATCCTTTGGATTTCTTACACAAGGGAAACATGATATTTAATCTTGTGTATCTTTTGTAAAAGGAGGGGATAAGAAGGTTAAAAGGAGGGGATGGTAAAAAATGAATCAAGGTATATTATGTGTAGATACAGATTCCTCGTGATGAAGGTGATCATTATGTATGGCAAACATACTAATAAAAATTGAATAGGAAATACACAAATAAAAAAGACAAAAAAATAATGTCTTGCATTGGAAAGCTGTATTGTAAATATAATGTTTATTTCTTATAAAGTAAGACAATTTTAAGAAAAATTCTAGTAGAATTTTATATTGGAACTTGAAAGCTTCCACAAGAGATTTATTCGCAGTCACAAATGCTGTGTAACCAAAATACTAGAAACAGACTAATGAGGTACATTTCCAAATGTAATCTATATAGGGTGTTATTAGTAAGACTTGATATATCTGTGAAAAACAATAGAGAAGAAATCAAGTGTAGTATATTATGAAAGTAGCACTTCAAAATAAGGTCATTGAACTTAAAAAACACACACAAAAACCCCCCTAAAAACAGAAAATATAATCTTTTTTAGGGAAGAGACATTTCCTGTTGATCTATATTTTCTCTACCACTTATAACACTGTCCAGTGCATGGCACGCCCTCATAAAATATTTGTTGAATGAATAACACTGTGCATGAACAAATGATAGTTGAGATTTTCAAGAGTCCAAATTTTAACTTTCTAAAACATAAAGGTAGAATCTCTAAAAATATTGCTCTTCACAATTTATTTTTGTATTTTAACAGCTAAGAGCTGATCATTATAAATGTGTCAGAAAGTTTTGCTAGAATATACTTCTTATAAAAATAAAATATATGGGACTTAGTTGAAAGTTTATTACACGACAAAGAATGATAGATTCAGAGAATATAAAACTATTCATTTCATAGTCTGTTTTCTTTCCATTTAAAAGTCAATGAATTAGCATTTGCTGTCATGAATAATAATAATCCATTACTGCTGTACTCTTGAGTGTGGGTGGATGGGAGCTTTTTAATTTTGAAATGAAAAGCAGTCTCTAACCCTCACAGATAACTTCAGGAGGAGAGCGCATGCCATGTAAACACATTAGCGCAAATAATATGCTGTGATAATTGATTCAAATTTACTGACCTTGGATACTTTGAATGTTTTTTATTTCTTAACTGTAAGCCTGTAGGTGAATTCAAGGTGAAATTATAATATGAAAAGAGTTGCTCTAAATGTGTCTCCTAACAAGGTGAAGTATTCTGTTGATTATCTGAATCACTCAATTTAAGAAAGACATTGCAATATGTAGAATCACAGCCATTATCAAAGACCACAGAATTTGTCACAGGTTTGTTTGCTCCACATATTAGAACTATATCATTAACTCATGAATAATCCAGGTCACTGGTGGTTTAAACATAGAGAGAACTTACACAAATAAACATTAGGTGATTTAAGTGAAGTTTGGTCTCTTAAAAAAAAGTACACCCAAGTATTTAAGTGAAGCAGTTGTTTTGGGAAAGAAAAAACAGACACCTCAAAAGAAAATATAAAAAACAAGGAAAGCAATAACTTTGTAAGAAAACCAATAGATTTTTAATAATTTACTTTTCAGAATTTTATTCAATATATAAGCTGCATGGTTACTATAGTTTATTCAACTCCCAAATATTTCCTGTGTCATCCTTTAATCTCCATTTAAATATTTAGTAAACTTAATAAGACATAAGAATTAGTCAAGAGAAGTGAAAAAGGAGGGAACAAAATAAGGGAGGGCATTAATGGAAGGCATACTATGTGGCATAAAAAGTTGAGTATTTTAATACATTTGACATCTAAACCTCCCAGACCTTATGTGTCTACATTAAGCCTTTTACCTTTAGTAACAAAAGACTAGCAAGTTCTTTAAGATGGAAATCATCATAAAAATTTTTTACTGTTCTAACTAAATACTTGCTACGCACTTTCATTTTTATATTTAATATTCACATTAATCTTACAAAGTAGAGACATTAATTATCCCCAGTTTATAGATGTCATAATTGATTTATGAGAGGGAATACAAGTCAGCGCATGGCAGAGTAAAATACAAATTCAAGTTTATCAGTTTCAGACCCTCTCAAGGGCTCAAATCTGCTCAGATGGTCCTTAACCATCTTGCCATTTTAAGGTGGAGTGGAAAGAGCAATCGCATTTTATTCTTCTGATTCCTCTAGATTACTTCAATGTTTTTTGAAACAAGGATGGAGAAAGGATTTATTCAGATTAATATATGAAGTATTTAGAGAAGAAAGCAAATAGTTTCAAAGTAAGATTTTTAAAAGATAATTTCAGTAGCCAAAAGAGGGGAGAAAGTGTGTTCCATGATGGCA